CATTGGAAGTTAGCAGCAATGGTGCTCAATGTAAACAAAGCAGACTTGAACTGAAAGTAAACACACTGGATTGCTTACCTGTGGAGAAGTCACTGTCAGAAAAACAGCAAAATATTTATTTATTTCACCCTGACTCTGCTATCACCTGGCAGGGCACCCGGGTGTAGGGCAGCAGCTCAGCTGCCCTCAGGAGCCTGATCATCTCCTTCAGCTGATTTTCTTTTTTTCTTCCAAAGTTATTCCACTGGCAGGTAAATAGGTGCGTACTTCTTTGATAACTACTTCATTGTGGCATTGGTTACAGTGGAAAACTTCTTTAAAACTGTTATGTTATGCAAAACTTAACATAATTCCCAGATAAAACAGGTCCTTGTGAGGGGTACTAAACAGGAATTAACAGGTGATTACTAAATGGGTGTGATGTGTATTTCCCCTCCCTTCTGTTTCCTAATGCTACTTCCACTGCTCCCACTAATCCCAGTCCTGGAGCAGGGATGCTGCTTCTCCAAGCACAAGGTGGATGCAGAAGGGGAGAGCCCCTTGTTCCAGGGAGCCAGTTGGTGACAAAAAAGGCTCCAATGGTGCACATTTCCCCCTCATTTCACTGTGTGCCTCAGCCTGAGGGCCTGCCATTCCAGTAGGAACAGCAAAGAGCTGTCTGGCCTAAACTGAACAGAAAACAGAATTATAAATGAGCACTTGACCATTTAGACCTTGCCTCCATGCTTTTTTTTTTTAAAAAAATGCATTTCAGATTTTCATTACATGCTTACTCAGAAAATGTGTTCATATCCCTCTGGACAACTAGCTGGGGAAAAAAAAAAACAACCCACAAATGTTCTTTCTCATCTACTGTCTCCTCCCTCCTGCTGGCCACTGCCCATTGACCCAATACTCATTCTGTGTCACAGAGCAAAGTTAAATCATTCACTGTGCCCACAAAGTGTCACAGGGTGCTGTAACAGGAGCTTGGCTGAACCTGACAGGGTCCAAAACTGCTGCAAAGATGCCAAAATCACATTGTTGCAAAGGACACTGAGCAGCCTGAATTTACTAGACGGTTTTGAATGCGTGTCAGAAATTTTTCCATTTGCACAGCAGCAGGTGCCTGTTTTTCCTTTAACAGCTTCTTAATCACAAAGTCAATTCCAATGAAAACTCCATCAGAATAATACCTTTTCCTACCCCACTCAGTATGCAAAACTGTGTCAGTGGGCATGTGGGATGGCAATGGAAACCACCTCTCCCAGCATTCAAGACATGAGTAAAGCAATAAATGAGCGTGGAAGCCACTGTGGTTCAGAAAACTCATGCAGGTCCTTTTAGTCTGAATTGACACAGCACAATTTTGGCTTTACCTCATCATACACCTTCAGTGTAAGTCCAGAAGAACAATGTTCATGCTAATATTTTTTCCAGCATCTGCTAAAGTAAAACCCTGAAGTCATCACAGCTGTAAAGATGTCTGAAGCTTCAGGTTTGGTAATAGATATTTGGAATTATGGGCTTTGTGTCCAAAGCTCTGCTGACACTATTGATGCTCTTTATTGATCTGCTGCTCTTCCAGCATCTGCTGACCCAACTGTGTGTAAGAACAGCTCTGTGCTGTGAGTGAACATTATCTGCAACCAGGGCAGGTTTTCTCCTTGGCTCATGCTGTGTGTGCTGCCATGGAAGCAAAAAAAGAGGTAAAATTAAGTACTTAGAAGTGGCAAGAAGTCTGTGGGGAAGTGTGGCCTCTCCAAGCATATCCTGTGCAGTGAGCCCTGGGTCTTCAGAAGTCTTTTCTTCAAACCTCACCAAAAGATTAAGAACAGGCCAGGAAGCCTTACTTGTGCTTTACTTCAGTTTAATGTTTTGGGTTTTTTCCACCAACTTGTTTATTTTTTGGGTTTTTGGTTTTTTGTTGTTGTTGTTGTTGTTGTTGTTGTTTTTGTTTTGTTTTTTACACCAAGCTAGGATGAATTTCCCCTGTCAAATAATGAACATCATCATCTTATGCTCTAAAATGGCCCTTCCCTCCCTCCTTTAACATGTCACACCACCTGCCTCTCACTTCTAATTTTTAAAGGCTTGTGTCAAAACTGTATTTTCATTGAGGCAGGCTGAAGCTGTTATTTCAGCCATTTCCTGTGAGAGAATAATGTTGTTAGTGCTCTTGACATGGGTGTGAGCAGGGTGGGTTGAGCTTTGCTGCTGCTGTGACAGGCACCAGTTGGGACTAGGAATCTTCTAGGAAGGCTCACTATTTGACTCATCTCTTCTTAATCTGCAAATATTACCAAGGAGTAGAAGCAGAGACTCATATCCTGATTCTCATTTTTGGTCTTAAAACTTAGGTTGCAACTTTGGCCTCTAAATACTTTCTAAGCAACTCAGAAACTGAAAAAATAATTTAAAAAAATAGATAAAGCCATGCCAAGGCACTTATTAGCAAAAAGTTGACATAGCTACAGTAAAAATTTAAAGTCTGTGAAATTTTAAATACAGAACCAATACAGATTCCCTCTCATTTGCACTTCTATATAATGTTGGTGCTTTTATGTAGAGGTGGGAGATTGATCTCAAAAGTATTCCCTCAAATACTTTTGATGCATCAGAACCTTAAACAGGGCTGGTTTAGACACCAGACTCAACATAGTAGAAAAACTTGGCTCCTATGAAAGGGTAATTTGGCCAGAAAGTTGAGTTCCCATTCATGATTGTGTTTCCTTTATGCTTGAAATGCAGGAAAATCAGTGGTCATTCCTGCTTGAACAGGGTCTGGTATTCAAGCCATAGCTTGCTTCTGTCTGTGACCTGAAAACTCAAAATGCCTTCACTACCACATTAAAATAAAAATGCTGTGACTTACAGGTTTCATAATTAGAAAGAATTTACATCTTACAGAAACTCATGGATTCTTTGTTTTGTTCCCTTAAATTGTCAAAATTCTGAAGTTCACAAACACTGAGAGCTCTGCACATTTCAGACTATCATTTATAATTTTGGATGTGAAATCTCTACTGCTTCATAAACCATTTATTTCTGCACATATCAGTCATGGATTTATGCCCTTATTTCCCAACGCCACTCAAAAACCTAACAAACAATAAACACCAATTTTTATACAGTTCAGTGCTTTGGAGCAATGAAAGTTTGTATAAAATCCCAGAGACCACAGTTTGTCTGAGCAAAGCCCTGCTTAACATTTGAATTTCTAGGTGGTAACTAAAGTGCTCCACCCATCAATATTGGCTAGAAGTGTTCTTTCTGAATTAATTCTGTGTGGTTTCACAGTGGTTTGCTCTCCCCATGGTGTCCCAAGGGAACCAGCAGCCTAAAGAAGTGGGAAGAAGTGCCTTGCTGATGTTAAAAGGTTTGTGCTTTGAAAGCATGGAACTGCTGAGTGAACACAGGCTGCTAAAAACCCCTCGCTCCATCCAGTTAAAAAAGCAAATTGATGGCAGAAAAATAGTAAATTACTCCCACTTCTCAAACATCTAATAAGGCACTGATTTTGGCATTTAAAAAAAATGCTTTGTTTCCTTCTCAAAGACATATCACATCCTTCTAAAATATTATTATTGCAAAAAATAAGCCTCACTGCTCAAATCCTAGAGAAAACATTTTGAATGAAGCACTGCATTTTACTACTGGTTTTAACCATGAAGAAAACATTTCATTTTCATTTGAGGAACCCCAAATGAGATCTCCTCCTGATTTCTTATGACTGCCAGCAAAATAAAGAAAAATTCAAAAACTGCACAGCAGCACAAGGGTGAAGCTCCCTGCAGTGCTTTAAAGCACCCAGGAAATTCCAGCAGGTGGGGAAATATTTGCCTCAACACCATTCAGATTTCCCAGACTGTAACACAGAAATCATAAAGGTTAGTTCAGCAGAGTTTAAAGGGTAAAGACAACTCAAGGAGCACTTGGTTGTTAATTCATTAGTAGTTTAGGAACTGTGAAAAAAAGACACAAACCAACCCAGCAGCACCCAAGAGGGTTCTGCTTTTTCAGCGTGTGAAAGGAGTTTCCTCTTTTCTCCCCAAGGTATCTCCCAAGGTGCCTCTGAGCACACTGACCACGTTCAGACTTGTCTGGCACTTTCCAAACACCAGCTCCACAGAAACCCAGCTCCAAAAAACCTCCAAACTGTTGTGAAGCCACCTCTTTTCTCTTGGAGGTGGGACATGAGTTTTCCCCACCAACGCTCAGAGTGCCAAACCTCACAAAGTCTGGGAGGTCCCAGAGCTGGTGACTCTTTCTGGGCAAAAGCAAACCACGTGCTGAATGCTGAAATAAAAGCCTGCAGAGAGGATAAATCTTGCCTTCCTATTTTGGTAATTATCAGAGGTACAGGTTACCACCAGAGTGCTTTTTATAGAATCTGACATCCTCCTATGAGAAAAGGCATGAACTCTAAGTTTTAAATAGGAGTTTCAAAGACCTTTTAAAAAGGTTCCTCCTCCTGCACTTTCAGGTAATGGGATTTATCACTTCTTGACCCATTTCTGAATAAGGCCATGTTTATGCAGACAGGCATAAAGAATATATATCAAATGTAAAAACATACATAGACACACAACCAACCACACAGAAGTAGTGTTTGCGAGGACATTTACAATAAATGGCACTAACACCTTTATTAAGATTTTAATTTTTCATTTGTGAAAAACGAATAGATTTTTTTTTTCCCTTGTATGCAGAGGAAAAGCAAACTAATGGCAAAAATCAAGATTACTTTCTTATTTCAATACTGTCTTTGTAGCCGCAAAGATACAATAATTTAACAGACAAGAAATACTGTTTATTGCAGACTTTAAGCTGATTCATGTGAAAAAGGCACTATGAAACTTAATCAAACTAGATGATTAAATTTGTCTAAATTAAGTGATGTTATATATTATATATAATACATATATTATATATAAAATCACATGACCATGTGAAACAGAACATTTTGTGACAAAAATCATTGCATCTCCAAAAATAGCATTTTCTGGAAGGGATGTTTCTCTTTTCTTTTCTTTTTTTTTCTTTTTTTTTTTTTTTTTTTTTTTTTTACCTGTTTTACCTTCAGGAATCCACTTTTCCAAAAGATTACATTTATAAAGGAAATTATGAAGGCTTTTTGCACGAGGAAAAACTGATATCTGGGATCGACACACAGAGAAGTCTAGATTATACACTGTTCTTTTTGATGGGTTAAGTTGCAGACAAAAAAATGCAATTATATTTTAAAGAAAAATATACTGTGAGTTGTTGCATGGCTACAGCAGATCTCATCACCTCTTTGAGCTGGGTTGTGATACTATTTTCTAGTTACTCTTTCTTGTGCAATATTATAGTTCATCACAGGTGAAATACGGATAAAATCAATGTACAGAATATTATTTTGCTATAAACAGCATCATTAGTAATAAAACATCTTGGGAGTGATGCAGGAAAGATTCAGTCTATGTTGGGCTGCTGTTCATTCCCTAAACATTTCCTCCACATTTGCTGGAGTCGACAACTTAAGTAAACATCCTGCAGCCAAATGCCTGACAAGAAAGACTGAGCCAAAAAGGACATAATTGCACACTACAGCAAGAGATGGGATTCAGAATCTTATTATTACTGAAGGGTTGAAATGCTTTTTTTATTGCTGGCTCAGCTTCCCTCAGATGAATCACCAACAAAGACGTGCTCCAATTTATCTGTCATGTTAATTCCATAAAGCCAAGACCCATCTCTGGGTGTAAATGAATCTTGTACCAATATTTTCACCTGTCAGGAATCTCCTCTGCATTTCTCATCTGTTCATTTCTCGTGATGAGGAGCCAGCAGCAGGTACTTCTCTGAACACTACTGTAAATTTTCTTCATGTTGGCTAGTTATATTTACAATACAATAAGACATTCCCCTTCACTTCTTCCTAAAGCAAAGCTGGATGGTTTAATGCTATGGACAATGGAATTAAAGAAAAGAGGACACACTTTTAGTGGCTGCTTCCTTCATCAAAGGACTCCACGCCTGAATCTGTGGCAGCTGCACTGATTTTTTCTTGCCGTCTTCTCATAATTTCTTGCAGTTCTGAACTACCACTGCTGGCCTAGAAACAAAAGAGAAGAGTTTACTCGTGGCTTTGACAGGTGCTGAAATTCCTCTGCCAGCATTTTGTTAAGACAGTTGTTTGAACAAACTCACCTTGCAGATCCAACAGAAAAGTATTTACTCTATCCTTAAATATAGACCAGAAAAAAAAAAAATCTGCAGACTATTAAAAACATATTTCATCATTGCTGAGCTTCTATAATTCCCACATGAGGCCCTGGAAGTGTTGGATATTTAGGGGGTTCATAAAATATGCCTTCAGTAAAAGCAGAGTTTAAGTTTAATAAGTTTGTTAGGATTCCACACTTAAACATTGGGGCAATAATATTTAGAATTAAAAACCTGGGAAAACCTAAAAATTAAAAAATTAAAAACCTGAAAATAAATCCTTGATGGGTTTAAAAGCTCACACATGCACATGGGATTGTATAGGCAAGACCTAATTAAGGATTCAGCCTCAGGATCTCACACCATTCACCATGAGGCATTTGCAGCTCAGAAACACAGGTTTCAAATTTAGAGCACACTCATAGAAATTGGACCATACTACAATATTAGCAACAGAGGAATATTGTGAGGACAAGGCTTTATTTAATCTTTTAAGAGTGAAAACCAGGTCTCCTGAACAAGCTGCTTTTTCAACATAAATGAAATTATTAGCAAGGCCAGGACATCTATTCATCACAGCAGAACTTCCCAAAGTGTGCGTGAATAAAACTAGGGGATTACAAACCAAGAGCATATATGCTTCTGTACAATCTGGCCATGACATGACATCCAAAACTTCAAAATCAGCTTCCAAAATACCCTCTGAATAAGGAAGCAGAAACTGGTTTTGAAATTTATAAAACAAATCCCAGGACTGTTAAGGGGGAAATCCTGCAGTTGATTGTGAACTCTGAAAATGCATCCTAATAATTTCATAAAATTTCATATAGATTAAGCCCATTAAATCCATTGAAATGCAGCACCTGGTGCCACAAAGAGTGAGACAAGTTGTAAATTAACTACAGTGCTCCTCCTACTTAAAATACCATTGCTTTCCCCTCCCAGAGTGGAAGGACAAGGCAGGGAGCCTAGAAGTGACTCTGAAACTGAGGGAGCAGCTTTACTTGTCTAAATTGATCTTGTCCTTGCCCTCTTGGTTTCAGATACAGAATTGCAGCACCCATTACTAAGGTCATGCATAAAAAAACATCAGCAGATGCCCAGCTTCATCAGAGGTCAGTACAAATATTTTTCTGAGAATAACTGAGCAGCCCAAGCTGAAAGAATTTGCCTTCCTGATAGCATCAATGACAACAGGACTGATGAGCCTGAAATGCATTATGTTGTAATATTATTATAGGGAGAGAAAGGATGGTTCAACTTCGTTTGATGACATAATTCAGCAAACAGGCTGAAGCCATCAGGGATTGCATAAATTCTGAAACTCAGCCTCAAATAACTGAGGCAGAAATAAACATTTCAATTACCTTTTCCCCAACAAAATAAAACAAAACAAAATAAAACTTGCTGGACTCTAAGTAGCTGCTAATTAACTCTTGTAGGGCATTTATTAGACCAGTTTGGACTTTTGAGTTTCCTGCATAGTGAGGCCTAACTGGGGCAAGCAGAGCATTGAGGAAAAAAGACCCCTCCAACCCAGAGCATCTCTGCTTTCAGACCAAATTCCACTGCAAAACTACTTCCATCTCAGGACACTGAAACAAGATGGATGACATGCAAAAAAAGTTGAAGAATAGAAATATATATCTTCACTAGGAAATGATGGATTGCTCTGGACTGTAGTGATTTCTATTCCCAAGAGTAAAGGTGAAATATTTCTCCCTTCCTTTAACTGGAAAATAGGGCTTGAAGAAGGGAATAAAACAATTTTAAGTGTTAGAAAATTATGCTCTCTGATCCACACTGATCGTGTAAAGTGTAAAATATGCATCATCATGAGCCTGTCTTTTAAAATATACCTGGTAGTTAATGGTTAAAATCATTCAAGTGAGACATTCCCAGCTTAAGGCGAGGAAAGCAATTTAAACCTCTTCAAGATTTTCTTCTAAATAGGATGTGGAGAATATAACTTCTCAGTTGGGTTGATCTCACATCTAGATCATTTCTCCACTCGCCACAGCAAGTTAAAAAACCACAGCAAGTTAAAAAAATGTAGGTGCATCTCCAGTTTTACTGGTTTAAAATCAGCAAGAATTGTCCTTAGCACAGCTCTGGATACAAGCTTAAGGTGTTTAAGAAACAACACTTCTTTAATTAAAGCAAAGTGCTGCAGAGCAATAAATACAGAGACAGAATCCTTGGCTCAGAAACTCTGCTAGCAGTGTCCAGTGTGTTTTCCCTTCAGTGCAGGTGCCCCAGTGTTTGACCTGAAAACAGCAGTGGGCTCACCCTACCAATTTCTCATGCCCTATAAATCAAATCTCCTCTAGAAAGATAAAACAAAACTCACTTATCACCACCAAAATTGTTGGGAGTATGTGTTTGTCCAAGCACCAGGCAAAGCAAGAAGCAGGAAAAGGGGCATTTTACTCTCCCATTGTTTCCCCCAAAGCTCTTTTTGGCTGATTTTGTGTTCTTGCAGTTGGGTTACACCACAAAACCTCTTAAACTTGAGTGCTGTTTCTAATGTTTCTGGACCCCTTCAGAAGTGGGGAAGATCTCACCTGGTGTTTTGAGGATGCTGTCCCAATGAATTAATACCAAATAACTCAGGTGAAAAGAATGATTATCAGCGTGATGGGAACTGAGGAAAATTCACCTTCCTCACAGAAGGAGGTTCAGAATTGGTGACCCAAATTAGATGAGTGAGAAGAGTTGTCCATACCTCCAAGGCAGATTTCTGTACCGTGATTTGGTTGTAGACTCTTGACCCTTCTGGGCAAACAGTCCTGAGTTCCTCTTTATTGAGGGAGAAAAGCTGAGCTCCTGTCAGCACACCGAGGCTGTTCACAGTCCTGGGATACGCCAAGGGGAGAAACAGCAAATCAGCAAAACCACACTGGCCAAGGTTTGCCTTCATCCCACATTGCCTTGGCTGGGGCTACTAAATTCAGAGCAAACTTGGTGCAGCAGGGCTATTGAAGTCAATTGGGTGTATAAGTAGACTTTTTGATAGAGGCTAAAATATATATACACTATAGTTATATACTATGTACAGAATATATATATATATATATATATATATCATATAGAGAGCTTCTGTGGCGCTATAACCACATTGTCATATATTTTAATATATGTGTTAGGTACACATAGACATCTACAGAATGTATCTATATAAAATTTATAGACATTCTGTAGCTCTATAACCACACTGATATATATTTTTATATATGTATTAGTACACTTATACACATATACATATATACAGAATCCATATATATAAAATATATATAGAGGTTCTGTAGCTCTGTAACCACACTGATATATATTTTTTTATATGTATTAGGTACACTTATACACACATATATATATCTATATATGTGTCTTTTTATATGTGTATATATAAAAAGACATATATAGATAGATGTATATATATGTGTGTATATATAGATGCATATATGTGTGTATGTATATGTGTGTGTATATATGTATATATACACATTTATATCCATATATACACATAAATATGTATATATACACATATATAAGTGTATATATAAGTATCTATGTATATATACATATTTATGTGTATATACATATATATACAAATATACACACATATATGTATGTGTATATGCACATATATATTTATATTTTTATTTTTATATATTTATATAAAATATATTTCTATCTTTATAGATATATAAAAAGATATAAATATATTTTATATAAATATATAAAAATATATTTATCATATTTATATATGTATATATAAAAAGACACATATATAGATGTATATGTGTATATATAGATGCATATATGTGTGTATGTATATGTTTGTGTATATATGTATATATACACATATATATCCATATATACACATAAATATGTATATATACACATATATATCTATATATACACATATATGTGTATAAGTATCTATGTATATATACATATTTATGTGTATATATATGCATATATACAAATATACACACATATATGTATGTGTATATGCACATATATATTTATATTTTATATAAATATATAAAATATATTTATATATTTTATATGTATATTTACATATATTATATGTGTATATATATGTAAAAACAAATTAATTTTTCTAAGAGTGCAGCTGGCATCTCTTGATTTTCAGGAGATGCCTGATTTTAAAAAGTGGTGAGACCACATCCTGACAGGAAAACAATCTAAAGGAGTTTTGCTGCACTTGTCCTGGGACTTACACGGGGTTGAATCCTTTGGACTGCAGCCAGGCTTTCACATCCTCGGGAGAGGAGTCGTAGGTGATGTTCACCACGGGGATGTTTGGCCGTGGCACGTGGAATTTCCTCTGGGCAGCGCTCCGGCCGATGGTGAGCCTGTGGACAAGTTCATCCTGCACTTCCTCCATCTGGGATTTCCTGCCTGGAGAGAGAGAGAGAGGCATCTCACAAGAGTTATTCTCCTGTCATTTCTTCTACGTCACTTTAAACCATAAACTTTTTTTTTAAAAAAAATCATTCATTAGATCTGACTAAATTATTACTCTCCTTTTCCCCCATGGAATATTTCAATATTACCAATCCTCCCTTTGCAAAACAAAGCAAAAATAACCAAACAAAAAGCCCCAGACAGAATTCAACTAAGAGCCCAGAGAGGAGAGATGACTGGATGTCACAGAGAGGCGGGTCAGTGTGACAGCACCCAAGCTGTAGAATAAAATGTGAATGGAGGGTTTTTCAATTGTCATAGGCTGCCTTTTTTCAAACAGAATTGAAGGTTTAAAAATGAAAACAAGAAAATGATCAGGAAGATTGTAAGATAGCTCACACTGTGGGAAGGTAGTACTTTCCACAAACAGTTCTTTAGTTGCAAGTTGAACATTTTAGTGCAAATCAACACAGGCAAAATATTTCACAGCTGCTGACATATATCAGCTTGCATCTAATGAGCTATTGGAGCAATTGCATTTTTGACAGGGTTTTGAGAAATTTGAATTCACTCCAAGCCTGGAGTGGCTGCTTAGCTGAAACATTGTCACACTTTGCATTTAAAAAGGAATTAAAAAAAAGGGTTAGCTGCTCTCACTAGAGACTCAAGAATTGGGCAAGAGTTGTTTATTTATTTTTTCATTTAAAACAAAACTGTAGGAATTCATTATCCCCCATTTGTCTGAAACATTTAGTTCAGTTGCTGTTTATTAGCAGGCAACAAACTGAAATGCTTTTCAGTCATTTCAACAAGATCATTTATAATGACAGAGAGAATTGTTTAAAATTGCTACAAAAATTTCTGTGGATAACTTCACAAAAATAGGTAGGATCCAATAAGGTATAAATAACCTTTTGGGCTCAGAGAAGATACTGATTTCACACAGTGAAACTCTCTGTGCCATAACATTGGAACAACTATAAAAATCCTCTGACAAACAACTCCAATTATCTCAAAAATTCTCAGGATTTCCTTGCCAAGATATTTTTAGTGATCTTTATTCAACCTTCTGACTTTGATACACAAACAGTAACTACACCACCCTCTCAATGCACTCAGATGGCAAAACCTATTCCTTTTCAGTCATTACACTGCTAGGAACAGATGAAAACAACTCAACTTCAATATGAAAAAAACCCCTATAAGATAGAAACATTTTTGCCTTTTCTACTTTCCTTTTATAAATTCTCTCAGAATCTCTCCAGGGTCTCTCTCAAAAACCTCTCCAGGGATCAATACCTCTAGCCAGTTAAACAAATAAAAGCAAGCTTTACATAGGCCCCTAGGATTATTTCTTTAATCACCACAGCAGAAAGAAGAAAAAATGTTGGTTTAACCATTTCCTTTTTCTCTTTTACAAAATAGCCTCAGGTTGAAAGTCGAAAAAAGCCTCTCTACTATAATATTTGAGGCATTCAGGCCCTGTTGTGTAGGGTTTTCTCCTCTCCCCCTACCCTGAGTGTGAGTCAGAAGTCCAAGGACACGAGCTCAGTGATTTGTGCAGATCTGACAGGGGTTATGTGAGGAAAGCCTTGAGGCAGTGTTATCAAAGCCTGCACCCGCTGTTCTCCCAAGCAGGAAGAGACACAGAACATTGCTGTCTTCCTTCTATTTACACAGATTTTGAAAGGCTTGTGCTTAATCTAGACCAAGACTGAACCAAGAGACAAACATTTAGCTGTTAGGTAAGAGATCTTTCCCCTTCTTAGATGCATTATCAGAAATAAGCAGGGCATGGGGCATGTTCTCTGGTTCAGGTGGGTACTTGGCCAGCAGGTTTCCCATCACCTGTGCAGAGGAACTATTCTGTGAGGGTTTTGAGGTGCCTGAAGCTCATTAACTGGGCTTGGGTGAGCTGTGTGTGACCCACAGCCCCTACAGTAACTCTTCACACCTTGCACATGCCCTGTACCTGAAGCCAGGATGGTCTTCTCATTTTCCATCTAGAATGGATAGAGGTCATCATGGATTCAAGGACACAGCCAGGCTATATCAAAATCCTTCCACAGAAATAAAATTATCATTTTTGTGCATGTGTGGCGAGGGGAAATCACACTCACTTTCCATTTTTTTTTATTTTTTTTTTAATTTGTTTGCTTTTAATTAAGTAACCAACTCTTTCTTTGGGAAGCAGCAGTGAAGCCTGTTCCTCCAGCCAGGCTGTGCTTCAGTTATGATTTCCAGCCAGACAGTCCCGTAGGTGAATATAAGGAAAAGCTCCCAGAGCCCTCCTGAGCTCAGAGCTTAGGCAGGAGCTTGTCCTCCACCAGGCAATGTCACCACAGACCCCACCAACAGGATTATCCACTGGGAACAGGGGGCAAAGAAGCCTTTCCCCAGAAAGGATTATGCTCAGTGCCAGTTTCTGACCTTAGGTGGAAGCAGGATTTGCTGGTAAGGCAGTGAGTATGGAAAGCTGTCAACTCTTGAACTACAAAAAGCTCATTATTTTTACAGCTATTACTTTAAAAGCTGTAGCAAATGCTTGCCTACATGTTTCAGTTATTTCTAAGCCAAGCAATCACATTGTCTAAAATGCATTTAGGAGAGAAATTACTGACTAAACAAGCTTTTCTAACCCTTCCTGCTTTTCAGTCAGCAGCAGCAGCCTCAGCATGCCTCAATTGTCATATTTTTAAGGTGGCCTTAATCAGAACTTCTCAAAACACCCACACACTGTTGGATGCACATTACCAAGTTTTTCCAGCTATGGAGGTATGGAATATGTTCCTGAGTCCTCCTGGGACAAGGACACCAAAGTCTGCTCCATGGCCTGCCAGTTGCTGCTGCTTTAACCAAGCCAAGGTGCCCTGACTGTAAAGTAACTCTACAAAACTATTACAACATGGTTCCTGGGCATCACCAGACCTGCAAGTGCTCTTGAAGCCCTGAATTTGTGTTTCAGAATGGTGTAAACGACCTAGAAATATGGATGATCATGAATTGAAGTGTGAAAACAATGCAACTGATTTTAAAATAATTTTAGGTTGTAATGTGGCAGTGAGTTCAGGTGGAAAACCTGCATTAGCCAGCATATCAGCATGGGCATTCCCAGTGTTAAAAACCACTGACTAGAGATCGTAGACATCGGAAATTTGGTTTAGATGTTAGAAAAATGTTTTTTACCGAAAGGGTGATAAAGCTCTGGAATGGTCTGCCCAGAGAGGTGGTGGTCACCGTCCCTGGATGTGTTTAACAAAGCTTGGATGTGGCCAGGGTTTAGTTGAGGTGTTAGGGCATAGGTTGGACTCGATGATCTTTGAGGTCTCTTCTAACCTAGTGATTCTGTGATTTAGGATGGGGCAAGTGTAAAGTGTTTTTGCCCAATTACCATTATGGTAATTATAACGAGGGCCAGAACACACATCCATAGCAAACCTGTATTTTAAACATAAGGTTAAAACCAATCTTTTCCACCTGAAACACAACTTTAAGGTACTTCAGAATTAAGCCAAACACCCAGGAACGGGAGGAAAGCCTTTTATCTTCCATCTTAGGGCAAACTTACGATCCACGGGGATCTGCTTCTGCCGTTGGGTGTCGCGGGCCACGCTGCCGCCGCTGTCGCTGGAGGTGCTGCTCTGGCGGCTGACGGCGGCCGGCGCCTTGGGCACGGGGACTGGGATGGGAGCTGGGGCACTGGGGGGCAGGGGGACAGCCACGGGGACAGGAGCAGGCGTGGGGGGCGGCGAGGGCGTGGCGGGAGCCGGCTCGGGCTGTTTCGCGACGTAGTCCGTCCTTTGTTTCTGAAGGAGGCAGAGAGGCTCGGTCAGGAAACAACATTTGGGCAAGATGTCAGACAAACCCAGGCTTTGCACTGAATGGTGTCTTTTATTCCACAAAGGCACCTCACTTGCCACGTGTCATTCCAAAGTTTGCCAAAAGTTGATCTGGTGTCAAAGTTTGGCATCAGTTTCTCTGCTGGACACAAGACTCACAGCAAGGAAACCCCACCGCAACACCTTTCTTTCCTTCAAGCAGATGAATTTTATCAATGAGGTTGTTTTTAAATCTCAAATTTCTATTAACTGGCACTTTTTAACACCTTTCAAATCTTTTGACTTATTGAACTTCATCAGTGAAAAAATGTGTATTTTAGAGATGTTATTAAAAAAAAAAATCCTGAAAAATGAACATGTCCAGCCACACCTAAACTCAACTAATGTTTTAACTTATAAATATCACTGAGAATAGCATAATGCATTGTTTCTTGAACTGCAGACAGCATTTAAGAGGCTCCTGCTCCTCCTATCTATGCCTTTTCAGCTATACTTTTGACTTATTGAACTTCATCGGTGAAAAAATGTGTATTTTAAAGATGTTATTAAAAAAAAACCCAAAAAAAACTGAAAAATGAACACGTCCAGCCACACCTAAACTCAACTAATGTTTTAACTTATAAATATCACTGAGGATAGCATAATGCATTGTTTCTTGAACTGCAGACAGCATTTAAGAGGCTCCTGCTCCTCCTATCTATGCCTTTTCAGCTATTGACGTGATCATTACAAGCCATCTCAAGGCAATAATCTGATTTAAAAGCAAGCCCCAGATTGCACAATTCTTGGAAAACGGCTGTTCTTTCTTTCTCCCTCCACTTCATGCAATTAACATGTAAGTTATCTTGCTGCTAATAACTTATTAGCAGGTGTCTCAAGAAAAACTTTGAGAAGTTATTTCTCCTTTGCCTTTAGAAGGGGACCAGCTACGTAAGAACACCTGCATTTTCCCAGAGCAATCATAAAGACAGACAAATCCATAAGCCACCTATGCTACCCCTTTCTCTCAGGCAGTTCAAACTCCATATCTCACTGTTTAAGTGTTCCCTCTCCACAATTTTGGGCTAACACGGCTTGAAGGTTCAATATTAAAGTTTGTTTGCTCAATAAGGATGCCTCATCTCGTAGTCATGAGAAGTCTGCTTACTTTGGTATGAAGAGAGATGAATGCATTCTCCAGATTCATTGCTCCTTCCTGAAATACCTTTCCCTATCCCCTTGGAGGCAGAGGGCTTTATAGCAGATCAAGCAGGGAAATATTTGCAGGAGCCATATGTCAGAATTTGAGCAGCAGATCACCGCCCTGACAACAATCAAACTTTCCTTAAATGTCAGCAACTGCCCTTGTACAGGAATCCCCAGCTCAGTGGACAAGGCATTTATTAGTGAGTGTAAACCATTTCAGCAATACCCATTTACACCAGCAGAAAATGTATCCCTTTTTCTTCTCCAGCCAACCAATTAAGCCTGAGAAACAAGCTTTAGTTCCCTTGGATGATTTTTTCCCTTAAACCATAATAGTCAGCTACTAAATCATTATCCCATTGTCTTCTCCATCCAACCAATTAAGCCTGAGAAACTAGCCTTAGTTCCCTTGGATGATTTTTCCCTTAAACCATAATAGTCAGCTACCAAATCAGACATATATCCCTGCAAAACATCTCCAATAAAAGGTTTTTTTTGTTCATTTGCTTCTATCTCAGCATTTAGTTCTTCGAAGGCCTCCATCTGAACTGCTTTGTGCAATGTGGGGAGATTAAAAAAATAGTAACAATTGACTTTTCTGTATTTTACTGCTTCAGTGTTAAGAAAATGAATGCTTCTATAATTGTCAAGGAAAGTGAAATGCATAATATAAAAGTGAACAAGCAGAATAAATATATTTATGAAACATGCCCTTTGGTGGAAAGAGAGTCCCCCACTAGGTGTAAAGCAAATATACCATAATTCATTATATGTAGATGTACTGTGATAGACTCAAAATCTTGTCAAAGAATTTTAAAATTTCACAGCTACTAAAAGGTTCCAACGATATTTTTATCTTGTTCACAGATTCCAATTATTAGGCTGTTATCCCCATAATGTACCTTTTTCATGTGTGGGTTTTGACCTTAAAAAAACACAAAGAAAAAGTAAAACTTTTTCATGATAGAGAGGATTTGTTACAAGCCAAGACATTCACTGCACACTGCCACAATCATAATCCAGAAAAAGAGAGAGCTAAAAACTCCATGTAACTTTCAGAGGATGTTACTGGAGGAGCTGCAAAAACATGTTGCACTGCAATCATCAGCCTCATCAAAACAACTCGCTGCAGTGAAAACAAAAATTAATCTGGAAGCATCACTCAAACTCTAAATTTACAAGTGCAACCACATTAAAATACACTTTGCATTTTTGCTAAACAGTGCCCAAAACTCAATTATATATTTGAATCCCATTTAACGTTTCTTTTTTTAACTCCAGATCTTTTGAGGACATCCACACATTCATCCCATCACTTCTATTCATTGCTATAAAAAGAAGCATGCACTATGGAATTTGGTGACTGCATAGTCCAAAAGGGGAAATTTTGAGATTCAATATCAGAAGAGTAATTCAGTTACCTCTGAGAGCTCTCCCAGTAATTGCTGTGAGGAAAATGGAGTAAATCACATCAAATAGTATTGTTAGAAAGGTGAAAAGCAACTGTCTCACACATCACTCCTGAAATTTCATACACATTAGCAATTTAAACTAAAGGAACATCAGTCTTAGTAATTACCTCTTCTTAATCACTAGGAAACTAATAGTGAGTTATTTTAATATTCTTATTTTGAATAGGGAACAGAATGCTGACTACAAAACATACACATGTGATGCCATATGAGCAATCAGCTCTTTTCAGAGCACCTACCCAGACAGAAACAGGCTTAACAGAAAACAAAAACCAAGGAAAAGAGTGCCAAAGGATTAAAGACCATCAGGTGAATGTAAATAACAGTTGTAACTGGAGAAAAATGAGTTAAGTCACAACAGGTATTAAGAAAGTGTTTAATTTTTTGAGCTCAAGACACGTTGTCTAGCTCAGCAAATGACACAGAGGTGCTGCTCATAGAAGGGCTTGTGTTGGGAGGGTTATGTTGAGATGGTTCCATCTAATTCCAGCCCCCTGCCATGGGCAGAGACACCTTCCACTATCCCAGATTGCTCAAACCCCCATCCAGCCTGCCCTTGAACTCTTCCAGGGATGGGGCATCCACAGCTTCTCTGGGCAACCTGTGCCAGGGCCACACCACCCTCACAGTAAAGAATTTCTTCCCAATATCCAATCTAAACCTGCCCTCGTTAAGATTAAAGCCATTTTGCCCTGTTCTGTCACTCCATGCCCTTGTAAAAGTGCCTCTCCAGCTCTCTTGCTGGCTCCCTCTAGGCACTGACAGGCCTTTGGAAAGTCTCCCCAGAGCTGAATGATCCCAACTCTCTCTGCCTTTCCACACAGGAGAGGTGTTTCATCCCTCTGATCACCTCAGTTCCCATCAATTGGAACAAATGCTTTAAACTGCTTGGAATGGTGATGGTACACACATACTCATTAAAAATCTGGATATATCATAAAAGCTAACTGGGACTAAATTTTGTTTTCTTATTTCTTGCCAGAAAAATCTTTGTTTTTACAGGAAAAAAATTAAGTCCCAAAGCTGTTTTCAACATGCTACAGGCGGCATCTGGTGAAAAAAACAAGATTAGGTATGATTCAATCTATTTTTAATGGAAGCAAAATATAAGTCCCAAAGCTGTTTTCAACACGCTACAGGCTGCATCTGGTGAAAAAAAACAAGATTAGGTATGATTCAATCTATTTTTAATGGAAGCAAAATAATAAGTTTGGGTAAAAATGCGAATGGATCCAACCCGAATTCTTGATCAGTGTAAAAGAATGGGAACAATATATTTTCAAATATATTTTGGCATCAAAAAAAGGGAATATACATATTCAAACTACAGGAAAAGCAGACAAAGAGGCATTGGAAACAACCAAAACCAGTGTTAGTGCTGGGAAATGTTCTCATTAAGTTAACACAGGCACAGAGCTTTCAGTTTACTCTCTTTCTGAACATTTGAGTGCCACATTCCTGTTTGCACAGTGACAGGAGCACACCAAGAGGGCTGCAGAGCATCCAGCCTCCGTTCTGTCAACAGCTCTGTGGCTTGGATCCTTTCCTGGGACTCCACTGAAGGGACAAGAGAGAACCAACCACTCATCCTCAGCCAAAAGGGCCAGTGAGGTACCCAAGACTGGAAGAGAAAATTTCAAGCAGGAAGAGAAAATTTCAAGCAGGGTTTTTGCCAGAGTTTACTTTGGTGGGTTCAGCTGTTGTGCAAACAGCTGACTACTAAAATCCCATTAAAATCCCTAAGCTGTTCTTTGCAGGGTACACCAATTTGTGATTTTATTGAATTGACAGGAAATTTAGACAGAATTTACTTATTCAAATTGTTATTAGCTAAGATTAGTCCCTATTTTCAAAGAAGAAAAAAAAAGAACAAAAATAAAGAAAAAAAAGAAAAACCTCACCTTATTAAACATTTACTCTCTGCCTAAGGATTTTGTACACATCACTGACAATATAATTGTCTCACCTCCAAAAGGGTGTCAGGAGATTAATTAACACACCCACCAAGATACACAATTCTATCCTAATTATGTTCTTCAGACTTCATTTTCAAGAGCATTAAAGCAAAGTCAACAAAATGCACAGAAAATAGGAAACACTATGATGAATTATTTCATAGGCTCACTAGCAATACTTTTACAAAATAAGAAATCAGAGTGCTTGGGAAACTCTTTATGTTCTTATATAATAGGATAGTGAAATACCAGTGATGGCTCACAATAAAATAAACAGATTAAATGAGCAACACCCCAGAAAACTCTGATAAACAATAATTAACAACAGTAGAAAATAGAAGAATTCGGCAAAATGCTCTCCTAAAAGTACAAGAGTACCCAACAAGCAAAAATACTTTTTCCTGGAACTAATTCAACCGACCAGAAGACAAACAGTGTTACAGGCTCTGACTCACAAAGATAATTAAATAACTGGGGTATTGCTGGCAATGTCCTGCAAGTATCACCTCAGTGCTCTCAAGTGACTTTTTGGTTCCTGGATCCTGAAAGCAATTGAATGAAAAATCGGGATTTAAAGTAATGCATGGCCTTAGAGGTCACTAGGCAGGGGGACAGAGTGAGAGCTAAAAATACCTTTACAGCTCTGAGGATAATTGTGATAATGAGGTATCCATCTCTCAGGGAAGGGGCATCTGTAGCATAATCAAGTGAAAAAAAATCCTCTTTTTCAATGGAATCCCTAATTCTTCCTAACAACCTATGAACACCCTTTAAGGTGATTAAGGTGAGCAGTGCACTGAAGGTTATTAGTCTGCAAAGGAAGACACTGCCCTTGCTCATAACACTTATCTGCAGCTGGCCACAGCAGCCAGGCCACTGTGAAAGCAGTTTTTTAAAAGCTGAAGATGACTTGGGAGAGCAGCAAAAGCTGCCCAGCACCAGGCACTGCTCCTGTGCAGGGTCTGGCAAAAGTGCTGATAGGAACCACTTGGATTTCCTGCTCTAGCCACAAGTCCTCCTGTGTGACTTTGGGCAAAGCATTCACCCCTTCAAGGTCCCAGTTCTCTCTGAAACAGCTGCAATGTCTCATGGTGCTGTTGTAAAAATAAATGGAGGTGTGCTAACACTTCCCAAATGAGCCACGTGTCCATCACAGGAAAACAGACAAATGAGAGTGCTCAGGAGTGCTAAAATTATAATAATCACCACTGAGTTTAAACAGCTTTACTGACATGTCTTGGTAAAGACTTCATTTATCCTGTGCAGTTTATTATATTCATAAATAATTTCACAGTATTTTGAGCTCACATTTGAATATGATCAAGCTGTAGAAGAACCTACCAGAGGGCAAAGTAACAAACTTAAGTGGTGTTCCCTGACCCTAATTTTCATAGGTCCATGGAGAATGCTTTGTGGAAATGATTGTTTTATTATATGTAACCTGCCAGAGGGCAAAGTAACAAACTTATCTTAAGTGGTGTTCCCTGACCCTAATTTTCATAGGTCCATGGAGAATGCTTTGTGGAAAGTTTTATTATATGCCATGTCTTGTCATTATTTCAAACAGAAAACTTCCAACCCTGCAGTGCATTACAGAAGAATAATCTGAGAACCTCTACTCAAAACTGTACTCAGCCTGCTCAGGACTTGGTGGCAAATTCCAAACACACAAAATAACATGCACAGGGAGAAAGAAAAAACCCACAGCACTCTAGATGCATGCTTCACTTCGCACACAGGCAAATCCACAACCAATGCAGAACGAGCCAAGATGTTACAGGCAAACAATTTGGGACAGGAAAGCTCAGAAATGGTCTGATTCAAGCCCACCAAGATCAAGGCAGGTCCACTACATTATTTTGCAAAATACTGTGGCATTTCTTGGTTTTTAGTCATCAGCTGGAAGGTGCAGACACAACAAATAAGATTAGATTAAATTATTAAACCTCAAGCTTCAACAGAAGTTTGGTTTAAATTCTGATTTAGAGGCTGGCCTTGGATTTCTGCTTAATTCAAACTTGTTTGCCTAAACTTTCAAGATCATTAGAAAAAAAAAAGAGGAAGGAAAGAAAGAAGTCTTAGAAAATATAACAACTTATTTTACTAGCCTCCAACCCCCTTAAATTTTGTCTAAAATACATATTATAACTTTATCCTATATAGCGTTACTTGAGTGGATAATTGTGCTGATGTAAGAATTTTTTAACAGTAATTCTCTCTAATTCTGTTCAACATATAAAAGAAATCAAAACAAGAAAAATATTAATTCCACACCACTACATGAAAGAAAGAAAATTAAAATGAGGTCAGGATAATAGAGTGCTATTGATGCACAGACATAGTAATTGAAAAATATCTGCTTTGTGAATTCAAAAGCAAATATACCTCCTTATGACTCAAAAATTACAATAATTAAATAAATTCAGGACTGGGATAGAGACACACAAAGACAGAAAATAAAAGGAAAAGCTAGTGCTCACTCTTCTAGGAAAAACAAAGATGACCCTACCTTAAATAATTCAAACTCCTTCTTTGGCATCAACAGCTATCAATTCACAAAGGATATTTGCAATTAAAATAAATGCATATGAATCCACTAGGACTGAAGTTACCACCTCTAAGCAAATAAGCAGGTAAAAAAAAACAGAGGTAAAACATTTTTGCAGTATCTCTATCAACTGCATTCTCTGTGAAATACAGACACCACTGCTGGAACCCTGGTTGCTGAGAATTTTAGTCTGTGCTGACAGACTCTGATCCCCAAGAGAGCACTTCATTTGACCTGAGGTTGTGGAGAAAGCTTCCAAAATGGAATGACAAAACTGGGAGTGTGGGTGTGGAGTTTGAATAGAAGTGTGTAATATCACAGGGTAGAAAACTTAAGAGTTTAAAGGTTTAGAATGCAGCAATATATATAAAGCAAGATGGAGGTTCTAGGGTGGAGGTTGCTCCTTCTTCTTCACCTTCGTATTTTCCTTCTTCACCTTCTCCTTCTCCTCCATGGGTTTGGGTGGTTTTGTGTAATTGAATAAAAAAGTCCGCATTGCAGAAATGGGTGATTGGTTATTGGGTTAAAAGTGAAGATAATTTAGGTGCCATTTTTTAATTGGACAGTTTATCCCTAAAAGGCCTTGTAGAGAGGGAGATGGGGCTCCATTTTTAGTTTGTTAGAGTGCAGTGCTGTAGAACTCAGGGTTTGTGAGACTGTGACATAGATAAGAACTAATAAACATCTGAGTCCCAACAAGAAATTCCGTTTCACGCATTTAATCCCAACCCTGGCAAAAAAGAAGCAAAGACTCCCCACATCACCTTCAGCCTCTAGAAGAAATGTCATTTGTTTGTGCACACAGAGTGACACTTCCAGAGGAGGTTTTGCTCCCAGGATGGACAGTACCTGGATGGTGCGGGTGTAGGCAGGCTCCGGCCATCCCTGACCGCCTTCTGTGTTCCTCAGAGGGTCCAAAATGTTGTTTGGCACAAAGCCTGTGCTGCCACTTTTGTTCTGAACCTTCCACCACTGCTTTCTGTCATCCAGAATCTGAAATAGTTTGGTAAATTAGTTACATGTCTTTTCTGACTTTCCTCCTGCCAATACTTAGGCTGTGAATCATTTCAAAACAAAGCTGCAGCTTTGCCAGGCTCTGCGTCTGCCAACAGATCTTGCACAGATGTGTCCCTGAGAAACCCCTGTACCTTCCCTGATTCCCACCATTCCCAACTCTACATGGTTCTACTGCACTTTTCAAAACGGGGCTCTCAAGAAATAATATATAAGTGTGTAATGGAGTTCTGTAAAACTCAGGAGTGGGCTGGATCAGACAGTGGAACAAAACCGAGATACTTGCACAGAGATGCTGTCATCTCTACAACTCACATGCTGTTGACAAAGGAATAAATAATTACTAATAACTCAAGTAAAGACAGCTCTAGGGGACAAATTTGGGGACACAACACTTCTTAATGAACAGGGAATGGGAGCAGGATGGCCTGGAGCAGTCAGAAGTCTGACTGCCTGCCCCACATTCTCACACTCAGCATTTTCTCTCTTTGTCGCTCCCTCCCTTCCAAATGTATCTCACTTTTGTGGTGCCACATCCTCTTGGAAAGAACAGTCCTTCACTATACTCTATGTGTACACAGATAGTTATTTAAACACTACTTAATATTTAAAAGCAACACTAGAGAAGGTGGAAGGAACACACAAATGTATTTTGAGCACGGATCTCTACAGCACCCCTTCCTAAGTCAGCAAAATTGGTGCAAAACAAATTAACTGAACTTTCCATACTGAGGCAGACAAGTCAAACACATTGAAGCAAACATTAAGGAAAGCCACACAGTCCACAGGAAAGGTACCCTCAGCTTTGAGTAGCACCAGAAATTTGTGTGTTGCCTTTGCAAACAAAATTACCTCCACAATCTCTTCTTTCATGACAGAAAGCTCACTGTTGTTTCTTGCCACGAATTCGTACTTGCATTTGGCGTATTTCTTGCTCTGTGTTTTATTGTGTGCTTCATAGTTTCTGCAAAGCAAAGATGAGGCTACTGTTCAGTGAGACAGTCAAGCAACTAAAAACACAAAATGCCCTCTTTGAATAACCTGCAAAACATTTTTTAAAACAGAAACCTCTCGACTATAGTGTGATGCTGCTGTAGAACTACCTATTCATAATACACTGATTTAAGTGCCCAAAAAAAAAAAGTACAAACAAACAAAATAAAGAGGTGGCTGAAATGGACAGACCTCAAGAACTGCTAATCTTTATTAGCTCACTGCTTGCAAGATGTATGATAACAACCTAGATTAGCAGGTGCTATTGTTTCTAAATAAACATGTACTCTATATTTAGTTTGTTTTCCTACAGAAAGTTAAACAGTCATTTGCCATATAAACAAATGACTATACTAGGGATATAATTGATAGCTTGGGCTTTGTATGAAATTGTATTTCTAGTGTTCATCACAGATAGTTTCAAATACATGAATAAATTGTTGCCATCAATACTAATGGAGTCAAACTCTAAAAAATGTTCACCTATTGTAGATCAGTTTTCTTAATTGACCATAAGATGCCATCAGCTTTAACAACTTCAAGTTACTTTATCAGTTAAGAATAAGAAATAACTTCTTGCCAGTTACACACAGAACAAGGTACATCACAGTAAGTGCTGTATCTCTGTTTCCATGAGGAAAACCTGTCCAGAATGCCTTTGGTTATGAAGATACTACTTTCTTTGGCATAACACTTTTCAATTCAGAAGTGCCCAGCCCTCTCCAAACAGGTCCAGAAAACCCTCCCAGTAACTTTATACACTTGCTGCAAATTATACCAACAACATAAACCCATACTGGACAGTAAAGAAAGTAAACAAAAAAAAAAAACAAAAAAAAAAACAAAAAAAAAAACAAAAAAAAAAACAAAAAAAAAAACAAAAAAAAAAACAAAAAAAAAAACAAAAAAAAAAACAAAAAAAAAAAAAAAACAACCAATATGAATAAATAAACAAATAAATAAATAAGCAAATAAATGCTAATTAAAACATGAAGCAACCCATGGCTTGAAATGCTGGGTACAGGGTCACAGCCCAGGGACATGAGCACGGCTGGTTGCTGCTGCTGCTGCTGTGTAACTCTGGGTTCCAGGTGTGCCTGAGCAATCCAGCAGTTGCCTGGCTACTGCATGGCTGTGGAGAACTGTCTCACTTGACTTGAAGAGCAGAACCAAGGGAAATCATATTTAGATTGAAAGATTGTTTTGAAAGAAAGAGAAAACACTCGCAGTATTTAAGGAGAGAGTGAAAAGCAGGGGATGACCCCCAGCCTGCAGAATAGCTGTTACAAGGCTGAACAATGTGTGAGTAATACCAATTTTTCCTGCTACCACCCTAAAATTAATATAATTTTAATTTTCTTTCTTACTGTCTGAGAGATATGACTAATGTAGTTCTGACAGTACTTTTACTTACAGGCAGCCTTTACAAAATCATTACAATATTTTACAATATTCTATTCTATTACAGTGACTTCCTATTTTGTCCACACCTAACTATCCTGATTACTTCAAAAATGTAATTCAGGAAGAACTTTTTAACATGTCTACATTTTAGTTTTACTCAACTCAGCAACATGCCCAGAACATTCAAGCCCAGCCTAATGAGCCAGTTTACTCTGGGCTCAAATATTCTGATCACTTCCCTCCATCCATCCTCCATTGTTTCTCTATGGTATATCAGATATACCATAATTTCAGGCCTCACTCTTCACTGCACCCTGCTCGAGAGCCTAGAGGGTTGCACAGACTTCCAGAGAGCTTTTCTTCAAATGACAGTGAAGCCAAACTCCACAGCAAGAAACTGCTGCTTTGAAACAGCACAAAACTAGCTGAAAGTTACTCAGTGCTCCTGTGGCATCAGAGCTCCTGAAATACCTAATATCCACTGCAAGTCTGAGACTCTGATGCTTTATTTGCACCATCCAATGAAGGCATGTCTCACATCAGTGGTGAGAAGCAGGAACCACTACAGCAGATCTCATTCCACAGCCTTCCAAAGACTAATTTCACCTTTCATGAACTGCTTCAAAGAAACATTCATTTCTTTTTACTGCCACAGAGGAGGCTTGGATAACTTTTTCTGTTTCAGACACCCTGATATCATCAATGCAGTAGGATTCTTTCTCTAAAACTGAAGAGGAGACAAAAACCTTTGTACAGAATATTCTTACTATGAAAGGACAAAGCAGGTCTTATCACACTACAGGTAAGAGCAAAGAATTTAGCGTGCAGATCATTTAGATTTCAAAATAAATGGTCCCCAGACAGGAATGCAACAGGCAATCAAGTTTGAGAAAACAATTAAGAGATGACAACTCTGCTGCTGTTGCCATAAAGAATAAATCCAAAGTTCTGAGAAATTAATTGTGTCTTCAACCTGCACACCATATGGGAATTGGCTTGCGTGCAGATTAAAAACAGGATCTTTTAGCACATGGCTCAAAACTAGGGATTCTGAAAGAGTTGTCCTCAAGAGTTGTATTGAGGATGATTTAACCAGCAAGTTGATCCCCAAAATTTAGCTTAAACATCTTCCATGGCTCATAAGACAAAATGCTTTTTATATAATATATATGGAATATGGTTTGGTACAGGAGAGAAATTCCAGTGCTTCTGTACTGATGTGCCTCCACAGTTTGTGCTGGTATAAATTCTCCCCAGAGATAAGGCCGAGGATCACTGCATATCACCTTGTCAATTATTCAGTTTTAGGACAAAATGAAGGGGGTGAAAGAGGATGTGCAAAAAGACACTGCTTGCTATGCAAACATTTCAGAGTATTTTCTGTAACATTTGAAAGAGGATGGAAGAGACAAGGTGTCACTGTTCTGAAAGTGGGTATTTATACAGCAGCCCAGAAAAATGAAAAGCAGGAGATGATGGAGAACTAAGTGAGCAGCTAAGAAAATCAAACAGTCAGTCAAAACAAGGACAGGTGAATCTCAGAGCAGACTCATCATTCTTTGTAACTCTGAAAAGAGCAAAGAGTATATTTAAATATGAAACAAATCAGAACTAAAATTTGAACCGAAGTCGGTGGATTCTGTGCTTGCAATTGGGTTGGAACTCCACTATATCATTTTTGACAAAAGCAGCAATTTAACGTCACAGATAAACAGGATACCTCATAGCAGTTATACAAAAAAAGAGCCCAAAATGACACACTTTAGGTAAGGAAAAGCACCGCCAAACAGAATCACTTCCCCAGCAGACACAATGCCACGACCAGAGGCAGTCACAGACCCCGCCACCCCAAGAGCAAGAAGTGGGGACAGTTTTCCACAGCAGCACGGCCGCAGTCGGGGCAGGGTTACCTATCTACATGTCGGCTAACAGTTTGCTTAAAGGCAGCCACAGCTGCCCCCTGGTCCAGCAGAGGCCCTCTCTTGTACACCGTGTTACTGAATGCATACCCATCCGCCGGGGGGTAGTCGGGAACGCCGGGAGGCTGCAAGACAAAAAGGGAACAAAGCCACCGGTGGATTAGTGCCATCCTCCCCTGTGCTCCATCCTGTCAGCATTCCCCCATCCTCAGGTGCCCACGGTTCTGCCATGAAAAGTTAATAATTTCTGCGTTTCAAGCAAGTAAAGGCGGAGATCAAAAGGACGAGAATGAAAGAATTTCTATCCCGAGTCGTCCCGCTGCATTAATATTGCAGTGGATGTTCAGGAGAAAAACAGATCTCTGGGGCAAGGGCTGTGCCATCTCTCAGCTATCACCACAGCAACACAACTTATAAACAATGCCTGAGCTGCTCTAAAATACCCTGCACAGAAAAGCTGCTCTGAGCTTCTGTTCTGGGTGTACACCTCAAGCCACAAAGCTCCAGGACAACCAAGTGTGGAAGGAATGAGGGAAAATTGTCATTCTACTGCAAGAGCTCCTTCGTGTCACATCCTCACTGAATATGGCTATAGTCCATCAAGAAATGCAAAAAAGGAGTGTGATAGGTGGTATAATTATGGATTTTAATTAGGGAAAATAATCCTACTTTATCACAAGCACATATGTGCTGGTGATACATTAAAAAATTTAGGATTTTTTTTTTTAATAACAGAAAAAAAAAATCTTAAATTCAGCATTGATGCTCCCCTTCTAGGCAAGAAGGATCTTAATCCATTTCCAAAAGCAAGACCAAGCTTGACAGTTCATTTGTGGGTATCATGATATTGAAATAGCTAATTTTATATCCTTTCCTTATACCATCCAGCTGCACAAGTCAGACTGGCTGAGATTCACCAGAATTTGCCAAATCTTTAAACCTGGGTTGTTGTGGCTTTTTTAGTTTTCTCCTGCATTGTTTTTGCATTTGGCTTATTTTTTTATTGTCTCTGTTAATGTGGCTACAGAATAGTTACTCACCTAATCTCTACTCCCAGGTCATGGCACCCTTGATTAGGGGACTGAGGGTTTATGAAAAGCAATTAATAAAATAAATTAAGCCACACAGAACTGCCCACACAACTAGAATATTCTCTAAAACACTATTTCCAGACCTCTTTGGAAAAAATCTCCAGTGACACCCGGCTTATGCCTTACATCAAAAGACACCCATGAGGCAGGAATTCATTTTCCTTCACACACAGATTATTTGCATCACTTTAGCTTCACTGGACACTCTCTGGTGGCTGTTTCACCATTTGAAGTCCTCATTGCTGAACTGCCTCCCCTTGAAACCCCTCTGCTAGGAGCTGCACGTGTGGCTGGATCTTAAGATTCAGGAATTCAGGAATAGAAAGAAAAAAGGAGTTTTTTAGGGGTGGGAGCCTCCAATACACTTTTCCTGATGCCAGAGCCCTGCCCAGCAGGGAGAACAGGGTCCTGCTCCTCTCTCCTCTCACAGGACAGCTCTCCACAGACAGTCTTGGTTCTGGGGAGATGAATTCCACACCACCACACAAGGACAATTAGCAGCAAGAGACAAACATTTCCATTCTCATCTGATTTTTGCAGCTCTCCTCATTGAACAAGCTGTTACAGCAGATATATGAAAGAATAATTATCCTGGTGGCACCCACTCCGGGGCTGTGCTTTTGCTGCAGACAAAACAGCATTTTGCACTCATGCAGCTTTTTCCAGCTGAGCACCTGCAGCATTTCCCAGCCATCAGGCAGCTCAGTGCCTTTTCCCAGGGATGTGCTAGGGAGGCACAGGCACAGGGAGCCAAGGTGAAATCCTTTGCCCAGAACTTTTTGGGAATCGGGGACAGACATGAAACCAATGCCTGACATCCCAGGAACCAGGCACACAAACTGCTTCAATGAACTGAGATAGATTTTATATATATATAATTTTTTTTAATTTTTTTTTTTTTTGGTGTATGTGTCTTTTGAAGGTTAAGACAAAGAGGTTAAGTTGACATAAACAACTACCAGTGTATGGAAAAGACTGAACTCCCTGAAACACAAGTAGTTGAAACAGCTCAGTATATTCTTCCCCTTCAGATTTGTTTTAGGTTATTATATAAATAAATAACATGAAGTTCTTAGAATGATCAGAAGAAAAAAATTAATGATATTTTTTAAATACTATCAAAATAGTTTCAATTCTGTTGTCTGTTATTATTATTATTATTATTCAGAAGGAACACAATATAAACAAAAAAACACATGGAAATGTAGATCAGTAGTGAAAAATGAGAAAATGTTTGATATTTTTTGGGAGGTCACGAGGGAAGGGTGGAGGTGATGGCAGTGGCAAAAGCTACATCTCATTTTGCTGCTCCCATTAACTCCACTAAAAAGCTTTTCTTGTCAAAACGAATCACTGGCAAGACTTACTTTTTGTCCCATTTATTCTTGTGTATCTTGTTAGGCATAAAGCCAAACAGTGCTTTAAAAGATCAAATATCTATCATGTTATCCCTCCTTTGCTTGGCAAGGTTTTTATTAAATTTTTTTTTCTGGTCTCTATAGCTGAGTAAACTTTTATTTTTGACTAACAGATATTTTCATGAAAATAAAGTTTTAATGTGACTGGGAAGTTTTTGTTGGGGAGGTTTTGCTATCTCAAATTGCAGACTTGATCTGCAAGAAGACAACATCCCATATCAGCCAGTAATAATTCCCCAAGATAGAAAAGACTCTAAAGTGAACGTAGGAAATTCTTAGGTGTGCTTCCACCTCACCCTGCTAAAAGGATACATTGGATTAGCTAACACTAGGTTTAAACTCAAACCAGTATAGAAAAATTTAAATTAAATCTTGTGTCCTCCCCAGCAAAAGACAAAACCTTCAAAAGGGAAATTTTTGTATGATTAAAAAGCCAATATCCTCTTTTTGTTAGTTAAAAAGCAGCAAAATCTACATATATTCTTAAAATATTCACAAAAACTAAAGTTAGTTTTCTGATAAATTCTATTGAAAAGGAAGGGATAGAATCTTTGTTGAGAAACAAGGGGCTGGCTATAAAGTTGGTCAGAAAATGCACCCTAGTTTCTCTAAAGGCTTTAGATGGTGATGCATATTTCCACTCTTTAAAGAGAATAACCTAACTTTTGCTAAATTTCTGATATTCCTTTGAAGAAAAATTTGGGAAAATGCTATATACAATCATTTTCCTAATCAGGAGTAAGTTTTTTTTGATGTAGACCTAATCTACCTGACATGGTATTGCCCTGAGAGCACCTCTGAATATTTATAAGCAATACAGTGAAAGTATCAATAGATTAATGAATGGAATAATAAATCCCACATTCATGAGGAACCAGTTTAAGTCCAAAATTCCACCAAAAAGCTCCTTTCTTTTGGATTGTGTGCCTGTGATTGACAGCACTTTGGTTCAAACATTGCCCAAAGTATTTATGCCCAGAATCAATGAGATCTGATAGCAGAGCTCAATCAGACTGGGGCTCAGATTGTCCCCCCACCTAAGGCAGGGAAGTGCACAGGTTCAAGGAGAGAAATTAGCAAAAAAACTTCTATTTCCCTAATTGCATTTTTGGTGGCTGAGCAGGCATTTGGTTTCCTACAACTTCCTATAAGTGTGAAGACCTTCCGAGGATAGCACAGGTGGTTACTGCAGGAACGACCCAGAATTTTGTTCTTAGGAAGGAAGGGGTTGGTGTTAATTAGCTAATTAACAGCACACTTCTGCAGTAGCTTACCTCACTGGACATTCTTTTCATCTCCTGCTTCCTCTGCTGCTCTGCCACGTTTGCCACAGACTCAGCCAGATGGTTGAGCTCCTGCTCCTTAGGGGCTCCCATGAAGTTCAGCAGAGGAGGCTCCCAACCATTCCTGAAACGGGGCACGTAGGGCGGGATAAAATGGTCTTTTGGCCATTCAGCTCTGTGGGAAAGGCAAGTCAGAAATCTGTGTCGAATGCTGGTTTAATAAGGTTCAATTTATAGAAATTGAAGTGCTTTAGAATTTTTATTAGTAGAGAGGAGAGGCTGGGATTACAGTAGAGGCAGAATCATGCTAGAACAGGGAGAATCAGCAAACACATTTATTTACCTCCGCTATCCTCCCTGCTGTGCCCTGCAGAAGGAGTTTGTTGCTTCTGTAAGGACACATCAGTGCTAAAACACAGCAAACTTCTGCCTTATTGCAAAGATGGGTAGCAGAAGAATCAATCAAAACAAATCTAGGACTCGTTTTAATGGTGAGAGGTGGGGGGAAAGATTGCAATTCTCTATTTGTGTGAAAGAACCACCAGAAGACTTCAGAGAAACAGCCAGCTTTGTAAGAACACCTGAATGTATGGAAACTTAGGGGGCCTAACTACAGCAAAACCAAAAAAACCCAAACAATAGCTTTACAGACAAAAACCCTACCCAACTCTACATGCTCCAGGACACAAGAATTATCATCACATTTGCTGGTTTATGGTCCAGATTGATCTTTATAAAATACTGTCCTACTTTTCAGAGTTCCACTAGCATTCTCTGTTGTAACACCAAACACCTAAATTAATGCTGTCCTGCTCTGCCTTTGCACCACACCTAACACTCTGTCCCACAATATAACCTTAACACTCTGTCCCACAATATAAATTGCTGTGTCTTCACACTGGAAGCAAAAACATAACAGTCTTTTAAAAGGCTCATTGCTGACACTGCCCAAAATCAAGGGACAAATGCTGCCAGTCTCATGAGCAGTCAGCACTTCCCAGCCTCTTAGGGCTGGTCAGTAATCCCTGATTTTATCATTCCTCTCTCCTGCTACATCCCACCCCAGGGTACGTCTGGATACTGAGATCAATCTCACCATCAATTCTAATCTGCACAGATCAGACAACTACATTTTAAGTGCTTCATTCTCCACTACCAAGCACCAGCCATTTCTCTTTCTGTTTCCTTTTTTTCAGGATGGACTAAACAAATGGAGTAGTTCCCAAGACAAGGAGCCTGTTGTTTTGCCCAGTGATCCATTTTCCCTGCACAGGACTCCAATGCTATGAGGCCATTTCCACTCCTCCCATGCAGCCTTCCTTACACTCTACAGCTTTCAATCAACCAAATAATTAATAAAATTATTAATAAAAACAAAATCCATCTGGTAGACATTTCTGTTCCAATCTGAAATGTAAGAGCAAGGATGAATAAACACAAAAAGCATGCTGCATTTCCAGTCCAAGTGATTGCATACTTCATCATCATCAAATGTACTTATCTACCACAGATTATAGTCAAAATGCACTTTGTTAATTTAATATTCTTCTTTTACATCTTCAATTCACCGAATTTCAAATTACAGAATTACCCTGAACCCAACAAATGCATAAAGAAGTTAACTTTCAGCTAAGATAAATCATAGTGAATCCATTAATATATCAAATATATCCAATAATGTTTTCACATGTGGCACAGTTCAGTCAATAAACATTTTTCTATAATTACAAACATTTTTATAGCATTATGATGCTTTTAAAGAAGTAAAGACATTGCAAATTTTTAACTTCAAATAATTATTGGAAATTGAAAGCAGACATTTGTAGCTTTTATTTAAAACTTTGTCACTCTTTATTGCATCTTCAAATTGTTTTTTAATGAAGTCCAGATAGATGGGTTGGAAAAACAACAGTCAAAAACAACATGCAAGGGACAGTTCAGAAAAAGATACTCCAGATTATGTTAAGAGGTTCTGGATACCACTGGGAAAAAAAAAAAATCTCTCTGCATTTTGTTTCTCCTTGAGATCCCAAATCCCAGCAAAGCTCAAGAATTCCTTTCCAAAACCCTCAAAGAACAGTTCTCAGGAGTCCAAATCCTAACAAATAATATTGAATTTATCAGGGGCTGGATAACCTGGTTACGACCATGTCAATAAACTTGATTTTAGAGAAAACTGTAAAAAACCTGAAGATTCTCTAAGACCTGAAGGTTTTTTTCTCACCTGGCTTTGGTCCATGAATCACCCAGGGACATCCAGAGCTGTCCCTCCTCGCTGGTGACGGTGTATCTCAGGAAGTCTATGGTGTCTTTTGTCAGCAGGGGGCTGAGCACTGTGCTGGCAAGCTCTGGCCCTCCTGTTGTCTGTACCACCTAAATCCAAGGATTCAAATAATGCCAGGAACACACATGTTGTCAGTAAGGAGGTGGCTGTGAATTCATGTTACCTACGGTGCTGCTAGGAAACAGTCTTTACTCATAAAAACACCCCAAAGAAGTAAAACCCCCTCTGAGAATCTAACAGTGTGTCTTGATGTCACACAAATTAACTAAACTATTTTTTGCTGGGGAGATGTTGTTCTGGTCACCAACCATTTTTTGCTCAGACCCACTCTGGGGAAATGTTATTTTTGCTTTATTGATAAAAGCCACACATACTTCCATTAAATTTGGTTCCAACTCTCCTCCTGCCTAATGTAGAGAACCCAAATTTTTTATTGTTAATAAAGATTATAATGTCAAAGTGTAACACGAGGCTAAAGATGACTTAAATAAATACACTTAATAGAAGGGAAAATATGCAGAAAAGGATATAAATTATTTTCTAAAGAAAACCTCATCCTGAGATACAAACATTTCTCCTTACTTATTGTCCAAGGACACAACACCTCAAACTTGTTATCACTGAAAAAGTTATAGAGCATATAAACACAAGAGTTCTGAAGGGAAACACTTAGAAAACTGTAAAACCTTACCATATGTAGTGGGGTAAAGAGAAAATGAACCAGATCAGCTGCACTAGGATTTTGGATATGGAACTTCAACTTGGCCTGAAGGAATCAAACAAATCGCACATTTTAAGAAACTTTTAACTGTTAAGACAATAAATGCTTCACATAAGAACGGTCATGGTCCTCCTAAGCCCAGCGTTTGGCCTGCAACAACCCCTAGGTGCAAATGCTCATCCATCCCATTGCTCTTGACTCCATGCATGTTTCAGCACCTATTGTGCAAAACAAGAAGTTCCAAAACCAAGTTACATGCTTTTTGAAGAGGCATCTCCTTTGGAAATCTGACACTTCTTGCTTTCATTAGCGTTCTGCAAACTGTCCAAATAAAACAAAATTGTCCTTCTCAGCCCACTTTTTCTAGCAATGTTCATAACCATTTACAGACTTATTACATTGTTCCTGAATCTTGTCTTTTCCAAATTGAAACGCATTCTTGTCCACCCTGGAACTTCTTCAATTTTGCTACACTTCCAAAAATATCAGGCCAGGTAACATAGTGGCATGTTGATGCTCTTTGTAATGTGCTGTTGTCCTTTTTTCCCTGATGGCTTTCACCATTTGCTTGGTTGATCACACTGAACACAGATGTCTGTCTCCCAGCAATCTCTATTACATCAACATTTTGTTCTGATTTGTTTTATATATGAGATTTTTCCTTGCCAGTCCATGACTATCACATCTGTCAGTGGTGATCTTCATCTATCACTTTATGTGTTATAACAAGATATTTCTATGAAAAATCTCTGAGATCATCAAATCCAACTTATGACCAAACACCACCATTAACAAAAAAAATTCTAAAACCCTCAAAACATTAAAATTCACTGATAGAGCTTCTTGGAGAATTTCTTTTATCTAGTGATCACCCACTGGCTTTGTGGGCTCCAGAAATAAGAAGCCCAAATGTGCTTTAAAGAGTTGTAGTAGTTTCTATTGCATCTTGCCATCTGTTCCTCAAACTGCTTTTGGCTACCCTGGTTCTGCTTTTACATCCAACTGTCCCCCCACATGAAGAAAGGAGAAGGATGTGTTTTTGCTTCTAATAACTTCCTATACATTGTTCCTCAGCCATAACAACACAGTCCCAGTCTATCTAAAGCTCTTTCACAGATGGTACGCATTTCCAGAAGCTTCCAGAATGAAGTTTTAAAACAATTTCCATTATACTGGTAGATTTTATTCTTCTAGCTACTCCTTTTCTTTTTAAACTAGATTCTTCATTTTATACACTTCTCCTTGCCTGACATAAAGCACACATTTTAGGCTTTTGTTGTTCCTGCAAAGATGCTGAAATAAAGCATTGTTTGAGCATTGTCACAGCACAACTCCTCAAAAGCAACACCAGAACCAGGTCCCAGATGCTGCTGAACACCAAAACAAGAGCTGTGACTTCTTCTGCACAGAAGACGAAGATGCAAAGATGCACAAATTGTTCTTGAGTAAAAAAAAAACTAATTTAATGCAGAATGTAGGAAGAATAATGGAAAAACCCCTGGACATTACATCTTTTACTGAGAAGGATGAGCATGTTCCAGGATACTCATCCTTCCCCAAAACACCAATCCCTTAAGACCAGAACCACAACACTTGATGCAGCTTTCTTTTTTTTTTTTTTCCAGGATACTCATCCTTCCCCAAAACACCAATCCCTTAAAACCAGAACCACAAGACTTGATGCAGCTTTTTTTTTTTTGCCTTTTTTTTTTTTTTAAGATATTTTTAACATGTCTAAATATTTCCTACAGCCCTGCAATCATAATTCATTCCCCAGGAGGAAGAAAGAAGCTGATTTGACTCAGTGAATTCAGAAGCAGCTTTCCCCCCTGGCACAGCCTCCCCAACAATGGGAAGGGACATTCGGTGTCTGACAGCAAATGCTGGGAGGGTGTCCCACGTGCTGCCTCCCTTAAATGGGAGACTCCCACTTGCAGGAGAGGAGATGCCAGCAGAAGGCTCTTGAATTATCATCTGGAATTATCAAATTTTCCAAGTCAAATGATTTAAAGAACCAGGGAGAAACATGTTGCTGAACACCAAATATGCTCATCTAGTCATTGTGTGGAGAACCTGAGTAGCAGCATCCCAAAGCTCAGAGGCCAAGCCAGCCCAGAGGTGGCCAGCCCTGGTCCAACCTCACATCTCAGACCCACCAGCTGCTTTCACTTACCAGGAGATTGAAGCCATGCTTGAATTTTTGGAAGCAGTCAATGAATTCATCTGGTGGAGGTGGCTTTGCACGGAGAGTGAGAACACCCTCTGGTGAACAAAACGAGACTTTTATACACCCATTTATATGTATGTAGCTTCCACAAGTATTTCAGATATAGTAAACAAGAAATCCATAATAACTTTACCATCTTACCGAATTTTGTAAATACAGAATCAAGGCAGGAGCATATTCTGTGGTCACATCTCTAGTGAGTCATTCCCCACTGATTTCAAGCAAATGATTTTCATAAGTTTCCCTCTAAGCATATCCTGATAGGAACTTTTGTGCTCAAATTGAGAGAAAATTGCTACACTGATTAATAAAAACCACACAAAAAGAAATTTCCTAGTTCCTTCAATGGTCAAGAGAAATAGAGTTGTGTGCAGTACGAACTCTTACCTCCAGGTCCTTTCTTTTTACTTTTTTTAGTTTTCTTCCTCTTTGAAAGTTCAGCAAATGCCTCTGCAGCTTTTTGCAGTTTGGTAACAAAATACTCTATGTCATCCAAAATATGGTTCAGAATTTGCTGTGGGAGAAAAGAAAAGTAACTGTTTCTCTACAGAATCTATAGCAGAAATACTCCAGAAATTGAAATATCCAGACTCCCAGACACCATCAGCTTCCTTGGAAAAAGTCTTTGTGGTTTTAAATTTACATACCTGTAAAGTATTTTAATTTTTTTTTAAATGTAGGCCAGCTGGAAGTTTTTTAATTATGTGTAACAAGATAGTTCATCTCAGATTGCAATTACACAATTTACTTCCACAATACATTTTTGCTGAGACCACACAAAAAAGAATTGTAATTATTTGAATGGACAGCACTTTCATAAAGAGTATAACTTCATAATCTCCTTTTGTACTAAGTATTAAGCTATTTGGTGAAGCTGTCTATGAATTAAGCTGTTTGTGGAGAAGTGCTCTTTGAAGAATTGATTTCAAAGAGTAACTGGAGAAGAATGAATGAACCCCAGGGGAAAACACAAAGACACCAATCCAGCAGGTCCCAACATGCTTTTTCCAAGACCCTCTGATGCCGCTGAGGGCAACAGCAGAGTGGAGAAATAGAGAGTTACAAATGACAGATGGGACAATATTTGATCTAACATATACCATAGAACATGCCAAATATTGTTGCTTATATTCAGGAATGCTTGAAGTTATAAATAAAAAGGGTCCACCTGTCTTCAGAAATGACCGTGTTTATTTTACAGGTGTTGTACATATCCAAGTCCTGCTAAACTCATGGAATTTTTTATCCTTACACAGTATGCTGAAGTCAGTCTACCTAAAAAATTACAATTTCTATTTCCAGCTCTTCACAGCAGAAAACTTGTCATCAACATTCAGTGTGTTTTTCTTCCTTTTTAAAAAAGAATACAAAGGAAAGAAACTGCCACCTGTTCATTTTAGATCTACCACAACAAGCAGAGGCTGCTTGGAAAGCTTTTCTCCAGAACTGAATATCCCATGTGGAGAAAAGTCTTCCCACAAAGGAGAGCTGCAAAATTTCACAGACATGAAGCAGCACCATTTGTAGCCCCTCACTTACAACATCTCTGTCAATCCTGGCTGCTATCATCTCTGCTGTTTCCTCCTGCTCGTGGTACTGTCTGTGCTTTTCATCTGCAAAGAAGGGAGAAGAGAATAAGGCATGCGTAAATGTGGGATTAGTATGTTAGTATATAATAATTTCTATATAGTTTATGCTTTGAAGTACACCACTGTAAGAAAAAGATGGACAAATCTCTACCATTCCCTTTGCAGGGACTTCACACAAGCTGAAAATCTTGCATCTTAATGCCTGATTCTATCCAGGCTCACAAAAAAATCTTCTGCACCTGCTTTCAGTGTACTTAACTGCATAAATGAAGTTAACTGCAGAAATATTATAAATTGAAACAAAACATTCAACTCAAAGTGGCAGATTATAAATACAACACAATTCAGAATCATCCTATTTTGCAAAACATGCTGAAAGCTACTCCAGTAGAAGCAAGCAAGAAAGAGTGCAGTGACTTTGAAGACAATTCTTATGTAAAAAGTTATTAGCAAAAAGGGATGCCAGGCCTGGAAACACAGAAAGAAGAGGGAGTTATGTGATAGAACTGATATTTCCAAATAAGAGCACCCACAGTCAGCGAATCTTTTTGAAAATAACAAGGGTGAATTATTTGAGGAATTATAAGTTTTGCATTTTTAACCTACACCTAATATTGCACTGCATTTGTGAGCAGGTGGGATTTCAGTAAACACATTTTAGAGAAGATCCACCTGAGTGGAATAAAAGGAGCTGCAGGAACTCAGATCCACAACTGCTCCAACAAGACACCAAACTAATAAAACTTTTCTGATATGAGAGCTCAATCAGAAGAACAAAACAGCCTTAACTCAAAACAGATGCATTTAAGTACATAGATTGAGCAATTATTAACATTTCAGATTTCTCTGTACATTTGCAGTTGTTTTTATTGCACAGTTGTGTACTTTGTTAAGTAATATTGATATAATTTAATAAGAGAAAAATTATAAGGAATCCAAGGCTCTTTCATAGTACAGTCTTAATATCTATTATTAAAACAACCCAAGCAAGCAAACTAAAAGAGGCTTGATCTTAACCATTTTAGTCTGTTTTATAGAAGGAACTTTATTCTTTCTGAAGAACTTTTATTTTTAAAGAAATCTCATAAAAATGTTTTTAAACAACCATCAAACAGAAAAATCTCAACCCATTAAGAAATGTTAAAGTTACAGCATTTCCTAGTTAAGGGTTATAAAAAAACCCCAAAAATCCAACAAACTAATTAGCCAAAGCAGCCATTAAAAAAATAAATATAATATAAATACAGATGATCTCAAGTCACCTTTTATCCATGATTATACTTTTGAATTGTCAAAAATATCTGGCCATACTACTGGGGAGAGCATCATACTGTGTTATTGTTACCACCTTCACAAAAAAGCCCAGGTCAAAATCTGGAACCCACACCCAGCACAAGTAAAAACAGCTCTGAACAGGAATCTAAAAAATGGGTAAATGCAAGGAAATGACAAATCAGATTATGACAGATCTTTGTTCCCAGATCAGGCTTGGGGCATCTCAGCCTCCACTGGGAAAATCCGCTGGCAGCGAGGGCAGAGGGCTGACCTTGCGCAACCACTTCTGCATCCAGCTACTGTCATCATCAAAGTGGCCTTTCCAAAGTACTTCTGTTGCCACCAAGCACCACAAAAACCCACTCCTGGCCCCGCTGTGTGAGGCAGCAGCCCAAGGAATACTCACAGTCCCCCTGCTCCGAGGCCCACGCCGACCATGCTGCCACGCGGCTCCGCACGTCCACCTGTGTGATGGTGCCCGGAGGCACGGGGGCAGGGGCCCGGGGGGGTGGAGGGATGGCACTGTCAGCTTTGGAGATCATTCTAGAGGGACAGGAGAAAGCCCATGAGTGACCCTGGAAGGAAAAAAGTTCTGTTCTCCAGCGCTTGGTCAGAGGAAACAAGGAGGCTTCACAAGGACGTTATGTTTTGCCGAGCAAGCTGCGCTCCAAACGGCGATGTGGAAAGATGCTAAACAGAACACAAACCCGCCCCAGGAAACCCACTCCAGGAAATCCACTCCACCAGGGAGTGAGCAAATCTTTGCCACCTGGGAAATCCCCAGGCAGTGACAAAGAACATGAGGAGACCTGCCAGGTCACACAGATAAATTCACTGCTTATTGCGGGGCGTTTCTACCAGCACCTGCAGTTGTAAGCGTGGGACTTGTCTTTTGTATGGGAGAAAATTGGAAGGTTTGAAGGCATCATTTGATGCCTTTCAGCCATCACAAATCAAGTATCTAGTCCCCTAAGTCTGGCCAGTTGTCAATCTGTCTTTTGCTTAAAACCCTGCCAACAAAACCAAGTTCACTGGCTGATTTGTTTTCTAACAGGGACCTGTTCATCCTCTCTCAATACAAACACATCAAGGTTCCCACCTGCCATTTTCCAGTTCCTAGTGTAGTTTAAAATGCTGTAAGGAAAGAGGTCTTTGAATTCATTCTGCAGTCTGTTGATACCAACAGACAAAAAAAAAATTTCTTTTTTTTCTACAGAGTAGCCCCTGTCATATATATCCCCCATTCCTTCCCCAGAGCTCTATTCAAAAACTAGATCTTCACCTTACATTCACCTTTTATAAACCCATCTCCTTCACAGCATTCAACAACAAGACCATAAATCAAATGTTGTTTGGTCTTTGAAGAAATAATAATAATAATGATGATGATGATGATGATGATAATAATAATAATAATAATAATAATAATAATAATAATAATAATAATAATAATAATAATAATGTAAAAGTAATACTACTAAAGTGATATTAATAATACATTAATAAATATAATTTAATAAATTAATAAAGTAATAGATAAATATATTTCTTTTGCCTTTCCTTTCTCCAGTCCCCTTTCACTCATCAACAACCTTGCAGCACCTCAATGATGCCTCAGAGGCTCAGTGAGGCAGGAGGGTCCCTCCCTGTGACCCAAAGCCAGCAGGCACATGAGCCAGCAGGGAGGAGCCAGCACTCAGCTGCCACCCACATTTGGCCTCTGGGCCTCACAGCCCTCGAGATTGATATCTCAGATTATTTGCCCCAACAGATGTATTGACCTACATTCTTTTCCCAATTAAATCTCATTAGTTTCCCAGCATGTCCAATGTGTTTGAGTCACTCTGGATTGCCTCTCAGTGCTTATACCTGGTTTGCTAACAGTCCCACAAATGGTAAAGTCTATTTATTTAATTTTAAACCTGCAAATAGAGTTAGACACAGTTCAGGTTCTCTTTTGTTTTTCTAGGAGTGCCCCTTGCTATAGAAAATCTTTGTAAGTTGCACATCAGAATTTAACAGGTATCCAGAACTATTTTACATTAATTCTAATTTTTGTCCAGCAGAGAGTTCTCTATCTGAGCACAATTATGGTTGAGAGATACTATCAGCATCACTTACACACTGAATTTCTAACAAGTTACCACCATCACCTTTCAGCTTCTGATATACTTGTGCCCTTGATTTTATGCCTCTGTTTGCTACCTCTCATTTCTGTATTAATCTTCTCTGAACCCAACAGATTCTTTCCCTCACATTTTCCAACTGGCAGAGAAGATTTTGCTACCAGGGAAACAAGAACTCTTCAGCATCATTAAACAGGCAGGCAGGAAGATTATTCAATCTTCAGTTGCTCTTTTATTTAACATCTTCAGATCCCAAAACCTTTTAGCATAATATTATTTACTTGGAGATATGGGGAATTTCTGGTTTTTAATTTAAATTCTGAACTGCTTGAGCCATATGCAGAGCTGAGACATGCAATGCCATTCTCTGGCAAGTGGAATTGATCTCAGCTCTTCCCATCACTAAGGTGGAACTGGGGAAGGTAAGACTGACACTATAAATTAACAGAACATGAGAAAATTATTAAAGCAAGATATGGCTTTAATACACATGGCTTTGGAAATATACCATTAGCTAGAAGAGAGGAAGCTCAAGCCCCCCACAAAACCCCAAAAGACAGCAGGCAGACCTGGAGATCTTCTGAATGCAGTGGCAGTCATAATCCTATATACTGCCAAGAAGTTGGATTTTTACCTCAGTGTCTCAAGCCTCTTCTTCTGTTTCCCACTTTTGCTGTCACTGATTGCACTTTCAATATCTTCATGAATAAGGGTAGCCTAAGGAGACAGGAGCAGGAAACATCAGGAATCAGCTGCTGTGTTCAGATCTTTGAAATAAATATCTCACCTTGAGACAGAGAATACCTGATCAAATCCCGTTTATTTAAAAGCACTGGGGAAAATTATTTTATGCATAAACCAAAAAAAAAAGAACAGAATAAAATCTGGGAGTTGGTATTTCTGTCACTACTCCAGCCTCAAGCGTTACCTTCACAGAAGTAAGTAATCTAGACACCAAATTTGTCTGAACAGCTGTAATTATCTCGAGTCAACCACTACTGCATAAGCTACTTTTTCCCTCTGCATACGTAATTTTTGGTTGTCTCAAGTATTTTGTTTGTATCAGACTATAAAAAGAAAATCCACTAAATATAGAAGCAGAAAAACTACTATAGATGGCAGCAGCACAAGCATTAAGACAGTAACTTGTCATGATTTAATTTCCTCTCAGAAATAATGACAGCCTCCAATTTCTCTTTGATGTGACAGAAGATGAATTTTTCAGAAGATATGGGGAAAATTATTTTATGCATAAACCAAAAAAAAAAGAACAGAATAAAATCTAGGAGTTGGTATTTCTGTCACTACTCCAGCCTCAAGCGTTACCTTCACAGAAGTAAGTAATCTAGACACCAAATTTGTCTGAACAGCTGTAATTATCTCGAGTCAACCACTACTGCATAAGCTACTTTTTCCCTCTGCATACGTAATTTTTGGTTGTCTCAAGTATTTTGTTTGTCTCAGACTATAAAAAGAAAATCCACTAAATAAAGTTAACCACTATTGCATAAGCTACTTTTTCCCCTCTGCATACGTAATTTTTGGTTGTCTCAAGTATTTTGTTTGTCTCAGACTATAAAAAGAAAATCCACTAAATATAGAAGCAGAAAAACTACTATAGATGGCAGCAGCACAAGCATTAAGACAGTAACTTGTCATGATTTAATTTCCTCTCAGAAATAATGACAGCCTCCAATTTCTCTTTGATGTGACAGAAGATGAATTTTTCAGAAGATTCCCTAATCTGTACCTTCCTGCCACTCCACAAGTGCTGTCTGCCTCCACCAGTGGCCCCACAAGTGAAATTTCGATGCACATCTAAAGAATTATTTTAATAGATCTTGCATTAAATAGGTCATGGCTTCTCACAGGATTTAGAATGCTCTGTTACATGTCCTCAGCTGACAAATTAATTTCCTACAAAGGCTGTCAAAGCCCAAATCTGTCAGTGTCTGGCTCACTCTGCAAGGACCATGTCTTTCCTAGCACCCTCACCATGCAGAAGTGTGTACCTTTTTGGGAGGAATATGTGACTTCTGCTGCGACCAGAAGACATTGTTGAATTTAGGATTCAAGGGGATTACAGGAATTTTCAGGCTATAATGGATTGCACTACAGAATAGTTGGGATACTTCAAGCTTACAGAATTAATAGAAAAAACTCTAGGGGACCCGAGAAACTTAAACCCATAAGAAGTCCATTAATCCAACACTCTTGGTGTTTACTATTTAATTTTTTTCTTGTTTATAAAATGTCAGAATGCCCCAAATAGTAATGATTTTAACTATTTTTTATTGCAGAGGCCCCTGGAGTTGCTTGTAACTTCAAAGAAAAACAGGGATAGCCAACAGAGAAAGACCTAAACTTTCAAAACCAAAAAGGTTTCATGGGCAAGGAAAAAAAAACCAGGATATGGCCTCAGAATCAAACAATACTTCAGAACTAAGAGAGATGCTGGACTTCCAAGTCATGCTTGTGTACTCTACTTTTTTATATCTACACAGAGGAACAGGTTCAAAAATGAAGAGAGACCAACTCTAGACATTGAGAAACTGGGTCCAAACACTCCTCAAAAGGGATCCCTGCATTGTTTAACACAATAACCCCTGAACTTCTGACAGGATCCCACTTTCCTTTAAAACAGCAAATTCTGTGCAACAGATCATAACTAATCATCCTCACACCACTCTCACCATGCTAATTCTGAAACTGATGCACAGTGTGATTAACAATCTGTTGTTTCAAAGCAATAATACAAACTACGAGAAAGGAATTAAGAAATCCCCATGAAATGATCAACTGGGATTACAGAGAATAACTAACAGAATTAAAATTTATAACCTCAGAAATAAAGAAATATTGCAGAATACATTTAAAAAAAAAGAATTTACACTTGAAGGCAATATTTTCATCAGTGACAAGCAATCTCTTTCCTTGTTTTGCCCCTCCTGCAAGGAATGTTTTCCCTTTCAAGATCTCTCCAGCAGAGCAGAGATGCAGAGAGGTGAGAATGTAGAGAATGTTTAATTGCTCAGTGACAAAAAGAACAGAAAGAGTAGGTAAGACTCAGGGCTTAGGTGAGCTCTTTGCAGATTATAAAATAAATTTGAGATAAATTATTTTACACCACTTTTTTTCAGAAGTGTGAAGGCAAACCATAGACATTTTCCAGAGCTTTATACATTTGCAAACCCAAATTAGCAGGTATAGAGTCCAAGAACCAATATTTACCCTAAAGACATATTTGAACATGTACTAAGGATTCAGCTTAAATATTAGATTACTCCTTTGCAATACATACTACACTACATTTGCTCACATACTATAAGTAGTGCTGATATCATAAGTGGATTAAACTTACAACATATTTACAAGAATAAAAATAAATAATTATTTTCTATGAATCAGCTCATTTATCTTTATCCACTGTACTGGCCAATTCATACAATCTCCCCTATTCAAATAGCAGATCTCCACTATTATCTTACCTTAATTTCATCACACTGGAAAAGATGCAAATCAGGCTTGTTTTGGGTCGGTTCTTTACATATTAATGCAAGAATTGAATTGTAGTTGCATGCATTCATCACAGCTTGGCAATGCTGAATTGTGCTTAAAGGAAAATTCTCCAGTTCATTCTGTCAGAAAAGGGGGAAAAAAAAGAACAAAACACAAAATGCCACCTTGCTACACAGTGTCCTGATCTCAGAAAAACTGCATGAGCAAAAAAGGGAAAGTGATAATAAGCTAATTAAAATCCTCAATCTCACATACATCGTTTTTCTGCTCGCTCCCTTTTTCTCTCTCTCTGAAAATGAGACTGTCACTCACAGATCCTACCTTTGATTCCAAGTCCACCAAGCTGACAGCTTTGTCATCCACTTGAAGAATCATGTCTTGAGTCCACACTTTGCCTTTGGCATCCAACAATTTCAGCTTCCTTATTCCATCATCCACTGTAATCATCGCCTCTTTTCGGTCCAGAACAAAGGTGGTCAAGTGCTGGTGAGCAAAATGTACATTTAAAAGAAATTATGATTGCAATTTTCCCTATTGTTCAGGAGTGCCAGTATTTAAATTGTCAGGAAGTAGCAATGCAAATTATTCACCAGTAAAAGTGCCTTTGTGTATGGCAGAGCCCACCTCTAGGACATGGATAAGGATGTTTAGTCCAAAATGTCATTTTAAGTCAATTTATTTTTGTGGCTTGCTTGGTGACACCCACTGTCATTTCCCCACTACTGTAAGCAGCCAGACTTGAAGGCACATTCTGACATCCTCCAGGTATCAAAGCTAGAATTAATCCATGAGTTTTAATTAGCTTTCTTGAGGAGTGAAAGCCTGTCTCTCTCTTGGCAAGCTGAAGTCAGGAGGTGCCAGCAGAGGCTTCCCAGAAGCTCCCTGACAATGTAGCTCCATCACCACCCTGACCTGGAGTGTCCTCATCTCTTCCAGAGCTGCCAGCAGCCTGCTGGTGGCAACCAGGATGGACTTGCATCTCACTGGGATACCTTATGGATGGGCTGGTCACTTTTCTGTCCAGCACAGAAGAAAATAGTAACAATTTTTGCTCACCATCAGATTGGACTATTCTCCAGGCTCAATTAATGGCCTGGAAACTAAATAGTACCTCACAAACATCACCTCAGCTAGCTTCCCTGTCATTATGGCTGTGGCAATTTCTCCTTCAGCATGCTAACTGTGCAAGAAAACCCACAAAATTATTTTGTTTTGTTCAGGCATAAATCCACTTTCACATTCTAATTGAAGATCTGGTAACACTCATTCAAGCTGAACCACATTTAATGTATGCCTGCATATCTCTCTTCTAAATAACTTTAAAAAATAAAACTAATACAAGAGGATTAGCTGTGCTTTCTTCGATTACAGGATAACAGCACATGGTAATTACAGAGAAGAAAGTAGGTGTTAGCTGCATGTAATCAAAGTATTTAAAAGAAGTAAAGTGAAACAAACTCTGCACTGGCTGCTTACCCAGGAATGCTCAGATTCTAAATGCAAGTACTAATTGTTATGCCAGTACAGGACCAAAATCGTTATGAAGGAAGCACACAAAATAGACAGGCAATTAGAACCAACACATGTATTCATTTGCAAGCTGATTTTAGGACTGAAGCACCTGAAATTAGGAGTCTTCTGCATACGATCTCACATTGCACAGATGATTTAAAACCCAGCAAAAAGGAGCTGAGAATCTGTGGGGTTTGCAAGAATTGCCTTAACTCATGACAGAGGTCTGATGGCAGCAGGAGAAAGTTTAAGCCAAAGTAAGGCTCCAAAAGGAGGCACTGCATTCAGAAGTGCTTAACAGGCTACATACAGCACTCAGGCTTACCCTGCTGAATATTTTAAATATGAGAGCAGCACGCAGTAATTCTGCAAAGCAGCTTAAGCCAGCAAGGAACACACTTGGCTCCTCACTCTGGGGAAGACTGTGAAGGCAGAATGTGTTCAACCACCACGTAAAGCCCACTGGGGCTTGGAGGGGTTAATGCTCAGCACTTTATGAATATTCTAATGCCTCTGCTGATTAGATCTGATCAGAGCATTAGCTTTAAATATCACCCAGTGTGCCTTGCCAGCAGCACAGCATTGTTGAGCTCTGCCTCATCCCTGCAAGTAGCCAGGGCAGCACAAGGGGTGGAATTGATGCCTCCTTGAAAAGTCCTGCTTGCCAAACCACACACAACTCTGCTCACATCCTTGCACATCCAGATTCCAGCTCATCATGGCAAAGCTATGCAATTTGAGACATTTCAGTGTAATCTGCTCTGAAGTGACCCCAGGCTGGAGGGATATTTCGAAGGTTGCATGTGCCTTCAAGCTTATATATCCTCAAAAAAAAAAAAAAAAAAAAACCATGTAGGTGCCTGCGATCTGACATTACCAACGAGATGTTGCAATGCAGTCTCTGAGTCACTGAGCAGCAGATAATGCTATTTTCTTGAGTTCAATCTGGAGGAGTATGCATGTGCCTTCAAGCTCAAAAAAAAAAAAAAAAAAAAAATGTAGGCAAAAATAACCACAAGTAACTGAGAGCTGTAATTGGCGTATGCCTCTCATCTCACCTCCACATGGTACTGTGACGTTTCAGATATGCTGCTGACACTGTCTCGTGCATAATTCTTTCTTTGTTCTGCAGGTGGGAGGAAAAGAAAGGATAATTATTCATTCAGTGCCTTATCCTGGTGTCTTGACTGCTCCTCAGAGACACTTTGGACAAGTTGTGCACATGAGAAGAGGAGATAAGCTGTGGTTAATTTCTGTATTTCAGCAGAAAAGACCTCCACCCCCACATGGTCCAGCACAAGGACTATTTTTACGTCAGCAACATTAACAAAGAGCTGGTGGGTGCCCAAAAAAATCCACTTATCTCATCCAGTGGGTCAGGACACTGGAGAGAAGCAATGCTATGAGTGGAAACACTGCCTTGGGAAGGCTGATTATTAAAATCTTTGTCTTGCCACTGTAGCAGCAGTATGATAACTAGCACTGGGCTCACTCTATCTGTATGAGCATCCTTGAAAGCAAAAGTATTTTCTGATAGATACAAATAATTCTCAGGCTAAATCTGCAAGACAACAAAGGCACTCACAAAAAAAGACCTGACTCATCCTTGATTTCTTCACGAAATATTCAATTCATTGAATTGCTAGTGTAGAAATAGGCATGGAAATATACATAAACACACCAAAATATCTCAAAACAGGATTTTTTTTCAGCTAACAAAACACAATGCTGCAAAACCAGAAATATTATGTGTCTTACTCTGTGCAGTAGATTGACATTAAACCAGGAGAGGAAGGAAGGGGAAAAGCAAGATGAAGACACAACACACACCCACACCACAAAATAATTAATTTAGATGAATGCTGAAGAACACTTTTCAATTCTAGTGGAAAAAAAATTGAATGCAACTTTTGGAATTTTCCAGTTTTTTTCATTACAACCACTTAAGCATCTGATCTGGAACACTAGGAGCTTTTTGTTGTGAAAATGTCAGTAGGTGACGTGGCCAAGAGAGGTCTAGGGAAACTCTGGAAATTAGTAATTTTTTTTCCTTATTTCATTAAAAGTCTCAATTTCTGATCATCAGGTAAAAGAGGTGGTTTGATTTTTTTTTCATATGATGAAAATACAAAACATACATACAAATTACATCAATTTCATCAAACTTGGGAGTAGTTGGAAGCAAAATAAATGTGATTTTGTTGACAGGAAGGTTAAGTTACTTTTTGCAAAATAAAAAAAAAATCTAAATACTATGAAACATATGATCAGTGCCATGCAGAGATCTGCAGTGAGGAGTCCACAAAAGCTCCCCTACAAAGGTCCTTTCTGTGACCAGGCCTCCTTCATGCAGGAATTCCAGGTGCAAAGACAGCAGTGCCCTCGTTTTCAGATGTCACTTCTGGAAGCATTTGTCACATTTTATAAACACACCATTATCTCTACCCTTCTCAATGATTTTCACAAAAAAACACAAGTTTCTGAGATACAGCACTGGCTTGAAGCCCCCCTCCCACGGTGACAAATGCCACTCGGGCAGCAGAGCCATCCTAATCCTGTGCAGCAGCTGCTCAGTTTGCTTCAGCAAGTGTGCAGAGCAGCCAAATGCAAGGTCACCACAAATGACCAGAATTTTTAGCCAGGTGTGTGAATGTTTCCAAATAGATATCTTGCTTTCATTATGCGTTATCCTGAAATCCCAGAGCAGGGGACCAGCCTTGATTATTCCATCTGTATCTACTATTTCTGCTTTTGCAGCATGTTACTGAAATGGTTTTTCAGTTGGTTGTCTTTTTAAGCACAGCACACACCCATGCACACCCCAACAGCACAGTCAGTAAAACAGTGCTGTCTGATTTGCTACCTTTCTTTTTTTGTTTGGATGATGATCTGAAGAAGTAAAGTCCATCTGTTCCTAATAAAACAAGGGGATTAAAAAGCAGTATCTAATTTAATCCCATAGAATTATTTGCATCTCTAAGGGGATCAGTTAGCAGCCTTCTGCTGTGGACTGTAAATGATACTTCAATGCTGTCCAGTAAGAAAGAATATATGCTTTAAACAAAACAAAGAAAAAATTACTTATTTCAATAACAATGCACCAAATACTCAGTTTTGAGTGTCGTCTTACCAAAATGTAAGTTTTGTGCTATTGAATTAAACAAGCATCATAAAGTTTCCATCCACTGTAAAATTTTTAAATGCTGCAAACAGTAACAGTTGGAGCAGCTTTAAATAAACAAAGAAAGTCTGATATATGTAGAGGCTCCAAAGGAATTAAAAAGCAGAAAGTATGTTTGCAGGAAGCTCCTTATTCTGCTTCTGTGTTAAGGCAGGAATTTCAAAACCATTTGCAGCACAGATTAACAGATCCTCTTCCACAGAGCAGTTCAACACTCCCAGGCAGCCAGGATGGAAAGTGTTCAACACACACTGTCACGGTGAGATTAAATGTAAATTTTATTAAAGTTCCTGTAACTATTTCATTGTAATTAAAAACAACTTTAATAAACTTTACATTTAACAAAAGTCAATCTGTGTTTGTGTTAATAAACAAAAAGTAGGGTCACGAGAACTGAGAGTCCACACTGAGAGCAATTCATATTTACACATTTATTTCTTTAGGCAGGTAGAATGAGAATTAGAAGCCGCTGGAGACCCAAGTTATCATTTAGAGCAGAACAGAACATTTGAGCTGGGACTGAAACACTGCTATAGAGGATCTGGAGGTGGATACTACAGCTGCACCCTGAAATTATTCACCCATCAAAATACATCTTCTAACATGAATCCTGGCATCAGGCAAAGTTCTTCCATTGTTGGAAGGGCTTGTCTTCAGGCTTTGTTTTTCAAAGCTTTTACAATCCAATGGTTCATAAGTGAGTCTCCTTTCCCTTGCAGCTCCCTGAGACATGGTTTTTTTGGCTGCCTGGCATGAATCACACTGAAGGAAGAATAGTCCCCCCCTGATAATATGAACATTACACAAAGAAAGAGTAAGAAAAAAAGTAAAAAAGGAAAGGAAATAAAAAGACTGGCAGCTAAAATGTCCCATGGCTTTTGCCAGCACCTCAAAACGAATCTTCAAGCTCTGCTTTCTCCTAGTGCTTGGCTCCTGTCCCAGATTCCACCTACAACCCTCCAAAAGTTCTCACCTTGCCATCAGAAAGGACACAAACCCTTCTGCACCCCCTCCTGCTGCTGAAGTGCTCCACTGCCTTGAGCTCCTGGAAAAGCTGATAAAAGCCTGCAAATCTGTTCTCTGTCCTCCTCCCCAGAGGACACCAGGGACTGCTGCTCCTTCCTGCAGCACCTCTGGGTTTCCATTTCTGAGTCAGAGAGATCTCAGCTGGTGATTCTCACAGGTTCTTTCATCTGTATAAAACTTTTTATTTTCCTGCAGAGGTGCCCGTTGCCATTCTTCAGGAAATGCAGTTTCCATCTCTCAACACTTTCACATATCGAAGTGACAGATTATCACCTACCAATTTTAATCTGACTGCTTTTACAGAAACCTTAACTTATCACACTAACTTCAAATGCAAGTAACACGAGCTCTACTGAAAAGGAGCAACAGAATTTGCTGATGTGCTGAGTGCAGTGGGACTGGCTAGGATGGAGGTGATTTTGGATGTGATACCACAGGGATATTTTATGGTGTCAAAGTCTTCTCTAGTTCTTGCTCTGCTGCCCCAGTGGGTGGGCTGGGGGTGCACAAGAGGCTGACACAGCTGGCACAGCTGACCCAAAGGATATTCCATACTGTTTAATATCCTTGCTCAGCAATAAAACTGGCAGGTAGTCTTTCCAAAGACTCCTTGCCCACATAGTTTGGCATTGCTCTTCTTGTGGAAGGCTGTGAGTAATTCCCTTTGTGCTATTCAGTCCCTTTTCCTCCCTGCTCTTTCCTTCACCTATTAAACCATCTTTATCTTGATCCATCAGGTTTTTTTCTTCCTTTTTCTCTTCCAATTCTCCCCCCTGTTCTGCTGCAGAGAGGAGACAGGGGGGATGAGCAAGCAAATGGGGAGGTCCTCACTTGCTGGCTGGGGTCAACCCCTGACACTGAAAACAAAATAATGTTTTGTATGCTCTGTTTCACTCTCCTCATCCTCCCTTTCAATCTCAGCCTCTCACAGGTCCCTTCAAGACACTACTGAAGCTGAAGTGAAATACTACAATAGAGACTTCCAGATATGATGCATAAAACGATCAAAAGAAGAATAAAACTATCAAAATTATTGAGTTTTTTCCTGTATACTCTACTCATTGTGGCTCTTACCCCCACCACTTAAAGCACAGTGCAGCCCTAATAACAGGTTAGCTCAAACTCTGCTGATATGCTGCACCCCATTTAGATAAAGGATTTTTCCTTTGGTAAAATTAAAAAAAAAATTAAGAGAGGATCATGGCAGAAGACACTTAAATTCTTAACCACAATCTATAGCAAATGCAACCCAGAAGAATGTGATTAAAATAAAATCTCTCACAACACAAAGGCAATAAAGTGAAAAGCAGCACAGCATTTCTCTTATAGGTCCTGAATGTAAGATCTACTAGCTACTGAAGCTCCCAGAGGAGCTGGAACATTGATCCACAGAAACCAGTACTCTTCCTGATGTCTGATGTGGACAGATATTGCAGCAATCCATGTTGTGTGAAATTATTGAATTCACCAATCATCAGGAACAGACCATGTTTCTGTTTTCAAACAGAGGTTGAAAACTACTCATTTTATTTTCATTTTTGAAAGCATCCAAAACACCAGAAAACAAAAAGCAACCTCTTAACCAAAGACTTTCAGCCAAGTCAAAACCTCTACCAGCCACTACATGACACAGACCAACAGGACTGTAGATTGCTCTGAAATTTGATGGCAATCCACATGGACATGGATTGAATGTCTCCCACAAAATCTGTCATAAGGATCCTGGAGTGACAGCGTAAAATATTCCTACACATCATCAAGCAGAAAAGCCCAATACTTAATTTACTACCATCTATCTGCATTGGACTGATTGTTGATACCCTTTAAGAAAAATAAATTGGAAAAAAAATCAACTTGAAGCAGAGCAAAGTGCAGGAAACGTGACCTAAACATCCGGGGACAAAGGTCATAACTTGAGTTCAAAACAAATTTCCTCTTCAGAGGAGCAAACACTATCACTTTCAGAGATTTATGCCAGGAGCTTCTCTCTGATGGCTGCGTGGAAGCTGCTGTAAAGGAAGTGTGTTATTTACAAGTCAGTTGTCAAATTAATTTGAGAAACAAAATACTGCAAGGATGTTACATGGATGGCTCCTTTCAGTGCACTCATTTACCTGCCTGTGAGCTGCTTGAGCCTTCCTTGAATTTGTTACACTGCAGTTCTTGCCCTGAATGAGTCTTATGAGCAATGCAAAAGTACACAGGTGTAGCATTCACATTCTCTGAAAAAATCCCTTCGCCCAGGATTTTTCTCCTGGGAAGATGAGAAGCCTCAGAAAAAGGAAAACAATTATTATCTCATTTGCTACTCCTGTGTTGTGTTCATGTGTAGAGTGTGTTTGTTTACCCACAGGTGATTGTTTCAGTGGGTTCTGGTGTGAGTTATTTTGACTCAGTGGCCAGTCAGTGCCAAGCTGTGTCAGGACTCTGGAGAGAGTCACGAGTTTTCATTATCTTTTTAGCCTTCTGTAAGTATCCTTTCTGTATTCTTCAGTATAGTTTAGTATAGCATTCTTTAATATAATATAGTATTATAAAATAATAAATTAGCCTTCTGAGAACATGGAGTCAGATTCATCATTCCTCCCTGCCATGAGGGTGCAAACACAATACACAGGCAATTTCACTTCCAGCTCCAAATCACAGCCAGCAGAGTACAAACTCAGTGCACAAAACAGTCTATTCTAATGTACTGTGAGAAGACAATTTTAGCAGCATCTTTCACTTCTGGGCTGTACAATAATCTGACAATTTGGAGTGATCCAAATTCAAGGACCAAATTCCTGGTCCATCCCTGCTGAGGAATGAAGATGCTCCACGCTGTGTCGGGGGCTGGCAAAGCCCCAGCCCAGCCCCGAGGCTGCTGCTCCTCTCCCCACAGGCAGAACTGCTCAAGACAGATGGAGGAGCCACTGCTAGAACAACAGATGACAGCAGGAGCCAAAACCCATCTCGGATGGAGAGAGCAGGAAGCAAACGATGAAATAAACCCCATAAAAATGTGCAGAGAGCACCTTCCCTCGCCTCAGAGAGAGATTTGTCATGCAAATAGAAAACAGCTCATTTCAGGAAGGAAACGAGTGAAAACAAAGGGATTATTGACACAGGAAAAAAGGCAATTGAAAGGAAGTTTTTGCTATCAGACAGGCACATAAGAGATAGTGATGGCTCCGGTCTGGCTTTGAGCTGAACTCTTGGTAACACCAATAATATTCCAGCCTCGTTTCCCACAGCCCTGTGGCCAACATTCTGCGTGGTGGCTGAAGGGCTGAATATTCATGAATCACCTCAGCAATGGCATCTAAGACATAAAATTCATGCCAGGACATTAACATGCCTACATATATGCCAGGACAGAAATATACACACATATAAAAACAAGCAATAGTAATAATAAGTTGCTGTTGTTGTTGTTCTTAATACTAATTACTTATATACATATAAATAAATATATATTTATATTAATGCATAATATAATTATTGTATAATATATTATATATAATGTATTAATATTATATAGTATTATATATTATTAATATATGTAATTAATAAAAATTGTCTTTTCATTAATTTTCTTTTTCTTTTTATTTTCATTTAGTCTTCACAGTGCTTAGAAGAAATTAAGTTCAATATCAAGTGATCACCTAGGAGCCCAGGCACAATTTTACTTGTTGATACTCAGGGATAGGTGGCTCAGTCCAATGGACTCTCAAGTTTTCCAAGAAAAGGAACACTGTAATGGGGAAAATTTGCTGCTAACATCATGTTGTCACATTTTAGTAAAACACAAAAAAACACAGCCCATTTTACTTTTACAGTAAAATTACATATATTTTGTCCAGTTTAAGTGAATCTATTAAACACATGAGTTTTCTTTATTAACCTAAACAGTATACATACATTTAAAATATATGTAAACAACAAAATACAAAAAGAAAGTTAAGACAGCTTCTTCCTGCTCTTTAGGATTTCAGTCTCAATATTCTCAAATAAAATAACTTATTTATTAATTATAAATAAAATACTTTGTAATGAGCATTTTCAGCACTCTTTAAAAATTCCAATATCACTCAGCTGCTTTTCAGCCCACTTGGGAGAGTAAGCACAAAAAATTTAACATTGCAAGGGAAGAAGATGCACATGGGATGCAACAGAATAGTAACTTTGTTGCTAAAAATTCGAAAAATTGCCCTGAATTAGAGGAAGATTTTAGGTGCTTTCCTTGTTTTCTCCAGCTCATATATTTGGTGATAGCAACACCCTACTTCCTTATGAATAAAAACCAGAGCAGAAGTAGTAAAATGTGCAAACTCTAAAAGCTGTGCCAAAACACATCCACTTGGAGTTCCAAAATAACTCATTCCTCTACTTCATTCAGCTCCTGGCAACGGCAACCATCATTTTGTGATCTATCTACCAGCAACAGAAGGGAACCAAGGACAACAATTCACTTTACAGGAGCCACCACAAAGCAGTTTCAAGGCAAGCATTTTCCTTTAGTACCTGAATTCAGTTAAGCACTTTGGAAGTAAAAAAATACCATGATACACATCAAATTTACTCACTTGTCCCCATCTTCTCCTGACACGTGGCCATCCCAAAATATTTGATATGAAAAGGCTCAGAGAGATATTTTCAAAGCTCACAAAGATTAAAGGACACAGTTAAGACACAGATACTTCCATGCTGTTCAAACCATATACTCCTGAAAAATTATGATGCTGACGTAAAATGAAAAAGGAATCACAACAATTATAGCATCTCATAAAGAAATAACCTGCTAAGAGTTTTTTGCAATGTCTTTTGCTGGTTTCTGTTGCCACCTAATATTTTTGTCAACACTTGCAATCAGTTTGTTGAGTGAACCCATACAGGATGCAGAAATCACTCTTTAAAATTATCAGCTCAGAATTTTCCTCAGTTTCGGTTCCTGCCTTCAGCACTGTGTTCAGAAATTGACTTTTGCAGCATAGCACTAAAACAAAGTGAATTTGAACTTAGAATGATTCAATATTAGGACAAATGTTTTCACCAAAAGGGATATCAAGCACTGGAACAGCTGAGAGGGCAATGGCTGGGTCACGATCCCTGGAGGTGTTGAGATGTGTTTGTGAGGCATTTAGGGACAAGGTCCAGTGGTGGGCTTGGCAGCACTGGGTTAACAGTCAGACTTGATGATCCTGAATGTCTTTTGCAACTTAAAATGATTCAAAGATTGTAAAGCAGGCTGCCATCGCTCCCCTAAGCTCTGAGCTCCCTCCCAGCCACCACTCCACCCAAAACGGGAGGGAGAGAAGATACTGCTTGGGATGTTGTCTCTTTGAGCTTCCCAGCTGGTTAACTTGCAGCTGGTTATCCAACCCAGCTGGTTAACCAGCCCAGCTGGTTAACCTGCGCAGAGGCAGAGCTGGCTGATGTCTGAGGGGTCCAGCACAGCACCAGGCCCTCAGGGGCAGCCTTGTCCTTCCAGTCTCACCAGTCACAGGGACTTTCAGAAGAGCATTTAGCAACAGGCACAGATTTACACAGCAGAACTTCTCACAGCCTCACTGCTGCTGTTTCCATTGCCAGCACAGCTATCAGTGGGATGTGCTCACAGTGGAGGAGGATGACCTGAAAATGGTGCAATTTGGCTGGCAAGGAACATGACTGCATTTCTCCTGCGCAGTTTTGGTGTCAGGCTGCAGAGTAGTGTGTACAGCCAAGAAAAACACCAGCTTTTGTAGTTGGTGAGTGCAACAACGTTCAGACATTTGTAGCATCACATGTGACAGTCACAGAGCCTGCTGAAAACAGCACGCCAAGCAGGACTCCAAATCTGTCACACCAACTCTAATTTCCATTAAATCTTTGTGTCAAAGAAGGAAAATATGTCAGTGCCTTTTCTGCTAGCAGGGGATGAAGCTGGGGAGGCAGAGGGAGGTACAGGAGAAATAAAACCCCACAAGGGTTTAAGCACAGCTAAACCCTTGAATGCCTTCTCCCTGGTGCATAAAAAACTATAGGCTCACTCTGAGTTTTGTGATGAATGCTGCCTGGAAAAATGAGCAGGTGGGAGCTCTCTGCTTAGTAAACTGAGCATTTTCTAGTTAGCTTTAGTAGGAATAAAACCACTTTGTTTTTTAGTTCAGTTGACAGACACACCCATGTGTGCATTTCCACCACCACACCAAAATCACTATTTAAACAGCAATTTAGCACAGAAGTTTAGAGAATTTTTGCCACCTTACCATAGAGAGCTTTTGCACTTGTTCTTGAATTGTGCTCCCTCTCTGCCTGAGCAAACGTCGGGGAGCCATAGCCACTGGAAGAAAACATTTCTGGTTATCTTCTGTATAGATGTATTTGGCACTGAAAAAACCCCCTCCCCTTCCATAGGACTACACACACCTACAGCATTAGTAACAGAGGGAATGATACTGGATATTTGTTCCACACCATAAAGATGAGGGAGAATGTTTCACTTGGGCTGCAGGAACTGCAGTGTGGTATACAAATAAATACACCTTAACTCAAGTAACACATTTCACTGCACAATTATAATAAATAACAATAATAATAGCAATAATGACTATGCCAAAGAATTGGGTAGGATTTGGGGTTTTTTCCCCGCATACAAAAGTGTTGATTGCTTTTAACAACTTTAACTGCTTTTAATGAAAAACTTAAAATGACTGTCATTATCTTACACAAATGAAAAGGCAGTATAAGTGTTTCAAGAATGAGTGATATATGAGTTCACCTTAATGAGAAGCAAAAGACACCACAGATATCCTGCTCCATACAGGAATATGTGTTTCTTTGCATCAGATGGGTAAATTCCCATTAGTGTTGAGAGTAAGTCTATGCCATGCCCCTGATACAGGGATCACCCTCTTCTCTTAGGCAAGGTAACACTTTCAGGCAGCAGCTGCTCAGCTCTCTTTCCTGGGAAGCAGTCTGTTCTCACAGATGGGAGAGGCAGCCTCATCTTTTATGCATAAAAATGCATTCACTCAGAGCTAACCTTAAACATCTCAGAACTCTCTGAGTAACATAATAAGGATGTTATGGCTGCAGCAATTTACTTTGCTGTTCCAGATGAGTCCATGCAGTAACACAGTTTTCCCTTACAAGAACACAAAAATATCTGTCACTTTGGTTCCATGGTTTGCAAACCCAACACACTTCTACAGAACACTCCTTTTTAATCCCAGTGGGAGCAACTAATTACAGCTCTATCTGAAATGAAAGCCTAAAGAAGAAGTACAACACTATTTTGTCCATAAGAGGCAAGTCCAAGGCAAAACCTTACTTCATTTGAGGGAAGTAACTTCCATATCCACCAGGAGGGGTGTTTGATATGTGTCCATTCATTCTCACTGCCACTCACTGGGAGAAACGACCTGGGAAAAGGAAAAACAGCACATGAACTGAAATATCCTGAAGATGAAGGCTGAACACAGGTGTAACACAAACGTAATGAGGAAATTATGGTTGAAGTGGGAACAAAATTTCATCAACAAGCTCAATTGTTGTTAACTGCATCCCAGTGATGCCTCAAAGACCCGCTGTGGAACTTCTCTCAGTAGCAACTTGATGGTATAGCTTCAAATAATTTATAATTTCGTGAACAAAGCTATTATTTTTGATACAATGGTCTTTAGGAATAGCTGTAGAAATAAAAGGCTCACTAAACAAAGAACAAGATCTGCTGCAAAAGTGAGCAAGATGTTCCAAATGGCAACTCTATTGCTCAAGCATGCTCGATTTCAGCCCTCAATTCATTTCTTTCAAATGCAACTCTTGAAATGACCTTTGGATACATATTCTATGAAACATATCAGCTGAATTGTTGGAAAGATGCATTATCAAATTAAAACACAATTGTTAGCACAAAAGGAAACTTGGTTAGCTATTTTGGTACTTAAGAAAACTCTTTTTTTTTTTTGTTGTATTTTTTTGTTAAGCAGTGCTTAACATCCTGAAAGTTTGGCATGCCAAATGAAACCTTTCCTATAAAAGCAGTGCTGAACAGGGCATGATAAAACAGTTTAAAAAATTCTCCCTGTAATAACATGTCCATTGAAGTTAAAACTAGCTCTGGAAAGTGACTTTCATAACCCTTTCATATTCAAATTTACCATGGGCAAATACTCTTTCATTTACATATATACATGAATAATATAAATTTGAATATTTCTGTGCATTTCAGTCACACTGCAGAACAGTCAAAAGTGTATCAGATCAAATTTATACCTACAAAATCTCTGTTTCCAAAGTAAGCACAGCCTGCTCTGTTTGCACTAGAGCTGCCTTGCAGCCAACTTATCTTCTGAGTCCCTAATTCAGCTTGCTGCCCCACATTAACTGTTCACTTCTTGTTTTACAAAGAAGCAGCAGCTCTTTGACCTGCCAGTACCCACTGAGTGCCCACACGTACTCTGCTACTTCCTTCTTCCGTGCAGAACGACGACCAAAATCTGTTCTGAGCTGTAAATCCATCAGCCAGCTCAAGAGACAAAAAAGCTTTGGTGGTCTTTGGTGCTGAGGGCAGTTTTTATACCTTTCTGAGGGACAAACACCTGGCACCTCCTGCCTTGGATGCAGCCAGGAAAACTAGCTAGAACAGTGTATTTGTTGGTGTATTAGACATGCCGAGTGAAATGATGTAGTTCTGTTTTAGGTGTATTTGTATTTGAGGTGTATTTGACACGCCAAGTGAAATCATGTGCAAGGGCGGTGTTGCTTTCAGTGGGTACACACTTGCTAAATTGGCTTAGTAGATATATATATATGTATATGTATTATTATTATTATTTTAAATTTATTTAATTTTCTTTGAAACCTTGGCTCCTTGCAGAACCTCTTTAGTGACACAAGCACATTTTGCCCCACAAATATATCACATACCCAAGCTGGTAGCCTGTTTGGCTGCTCTACGACTTTTTATGGAGTGCAGTCCTTAACAGCTGTCTCGGATAAATTACCAACCATGTTGAGTGCTGCTCAATTCATTAGCAATTACAACCTTTGGGAAGCTTGCTGAAATCATCCCATGACTTGAAAGGATACAACTGCTCATTTTCCCAGCGGAATTTGCCAGCTCACCGCGCAATCCCTGCTCCGTTTCAGCGACTGCCAGGAGCAGAGCAGCTCAGAGTGCTCCTCTCCAGCCCAGGCTGCCACTGAGCTCTCCAGCACTTCCTATCAGCTACCCATGCTTATCATCATCTGCCCTGCTTAGCAGTTTCCCCTGTGATTAGCTTCCATGGAGTCACCACATCCAAAATACACAAATTATCCCCGCTGCTGTTTGGTATCCCCACTTTACTTTCCATCCACACGTTAAGGTAGCACTTGTTGGATAATTCCATTTGTCATAATCTTTGTTGATTTGTAGTCTTTTTTTCATAGGCCTATTTGTAAGAAATTCTTCAACTATCTGTCTTAAAGTGAGATCTGGGGGGAAGAAAACCCCCTTGGTTTAAAATTCTCTCAGAATAATTCCACTGCTCTGACATCTTAATCTGACAAATACTTGGTTTGTATTTGCGTTCACTCAGTTTTATGGAGGTGGTGAAGCAGATATTTTAAGTAGAAGGAATGCAATATATTAGAATGCAGTGTATTAGAATTTCAAGCTTCAGCCTTTGAAGTCAGCATGACACACTGAGTTTGAAAGCAGCAAGAAAGCTGAGCAGCAGATTTTCACATTGGGGAAAGAAACCATCTCTCAGGACTAAATACCTGCCCACTGTAAGGCACAACACCACTTAAATCCAAAAATCTTCAGAATTATGTTTTGAATTAAGAGATACTGAAAGTCTGAAGTCAAAAATTTTTACTATTAAAATAAAAAAAAAAGCACGCAGCTTGTTCTGCTAAGCAAACACAAAAGTATTACTCAGCTTTAGCTGATATGCAAACAAAACACCACTTGCTATTAGACAGTTGAGTAAAGCCAACAATATTTCCTGCCCCTCATGCAATTTCCAGTGCTTTTGAAATGCCAGAACAACTACCTTGACATGACAATTTCAATGCTCCTGCAATTTCATGCAATGCTTCTGTCACTCGGTTCAAGAAACCTCCAGAATGTGAATACAAACAAACCCTTTACTATAATTATTTATAATTAGTTCAAATATTTATAACAGCATCAAAAAGCTACTTGTGACTCCCCAGAATTATCACACAATCAGATCTCATTCAACATAAATGTTTCATTAAAAAAAAAAAAATTAGGAAAACTCTTTAATTTTTTTTTTAATTAAGTGCATGATGAAGAAAAGGGAAAAACCACAAAAGGGTAACAGTACATGCAGGGCTTTATTATTGCCTTGTACAGCTTTCTCTGCTGTGTTTCTCATCTCAAATGCTCTTTCATCTCTTATAACCAGTCAATCCTGCAGCAAAAGTCACCCCCTGCACACTGCAAAGCCATTGTCAACCGGGAGTCTATTAATAAACTCCACTTCCTCTTTAATTTTCCCTTTCACCTCAGCCCAGCAGGTCACAGCAACCTACACTGGCGTCCCAGACTTTAAAATAAACATCCTTCACTATTAACTGCATGATCCCTCTTCAATTAGGCCTGAAGTATCAACAGTTTAATTGTGAATATGACCAAAAATGGTCATGTCTCAGGATCCTGGAAAAAAAAAAAAAAAAATCATGCCTGCTCTGAAAAAGAAATATTTTAAACCAGGAAAGCTAAGTAAGATTTCAAGAAGAAAAGAAAAATAAATTAATAATAATAATAATAATAATAATAATAATAATAATAATAATAATAATAATAATGATGATGATGTGTTTATCCTTAAGTATATTAAAATAATATATTATTAAAATAAGTTTGAAATATTTGTAAATATTTTATTTTGAAAAACCAAAAAAAAAAAAAAATCCACAAAACAGTCTCATCAACAACAACACAAAAATTCACCTAGGACTTCCCTGCTGCCATCAGCTTTATTTTTGAAGGGATATTGATGGTCAGCAGCTCTGTAAATGACAAGGGTCCAGCCTTTATAACAGAGAAACCATTCCTGAGACAGATGTACTTTTGCTCTTCAGCAGTTACAGGTGGTAATGCCAAGCATGAGGAGAATCATGCCAGTGTACAAATGATTATATCAGTCATGAACTCTGTTTTTTAAAAAAAAAAATACTTGTCTTCCCCATCTTGTAGCACGGCAGCCTCGTGAAACAATGCAATTTATGTGGCACACCAACAGCTCTCATGTCCTGCCATGTCATTTCCTAATAAATTTGAAAGGAACAAAATCCCCCAAATATTAAAAAAAAAAAAAAAAACAAACCCAAACACCTTTCCCAGAAAGGAAGAGCTGCATCATTAGAGCTAATTAGATATTCTAGAGCCTGGTGCTCTTTTCGTCCTGAAGTGGTCAGTCCCACCCAGTGGCAGAGCACAATCTCATATGGAAACCAAAAGAGAAACAACTTAATGACGTGGATATTTTAGAAATTATGGAGGGGGAAGGGCTAAGGAGAAAAGGATGCACAGGAAAGCCAATAATGGCTGGAATGATTATTGTCTACTGATTAAGAAAATTTCATTGTTATCATGTATCCTCCAAACCCCCTAAAATTCTCCCCAGGCAGAGCACAGTCTGTAACTCCAGCCTAAACAAAAAGCAGTGTGCTATTACAGGGTAACACCATTCCCTGGTGAATGCAGCAATGTCAGATAAGGACACTCTCCCTCCACCCTTCCCCTTTCAAAAGTATTACAGAAGAACAAAACAACAGGGAAAAAAAAATTTAAAAAAAATCCATGTACTCCCAGCTCACTGTGCATTCAGTAGAAATGCCTCTTGCTGCTATCCCTCAGCTTTCAGCACTGTTAACCTGCAGAATGCACAAAAACTGTTTAGCTTACTGTGTGACTTGCCATTTTTCATCTGCTTCTTCTCAAACCTCATCCTGTTCCCCCACACACAACTTTCCCTACTGGTGCTGAATTTTCAAACAGCATCTCCTCCTGTCCACCTTGCTGTTCTGACCCATCGCTCTCCTATTTGTATCTTCAGATTTTACAAATGGGAAACTCCTGGCAGAAATACATCCTGTGGAGGCAGATGAAATATTGCTGCTGCCCTCTGCTTTGGGACTTGCTTCAGAGCACAGCCAAGAGCAAACACGAGTTTTGCTGCTTGTTGGACGTCTTGCCTGGAGATAAACACCAAAATGCACACGAATGCACAAGTCATGCTTCTGAAATGATCCCTGGGGATTTTCCAGCCTCAGTGCACTGATACCAGAATCTCTCTGAGAAAAGCTGCCTTTGGTTGAGCTGGTAGCAGCTTTGCTCTGTAATGTTTTCAGTTTCCTGTTAAGCAGGTTGGAGCATCCAAAAGCTGGTAGAAAAGGTGACAGC